CTGTGTCCAGCAGCTGAGCTCTTGTCCTCACCAGTGTGACTCAAGCAGTCATCGGAGTAACAGCACTCACATAAAGCATTGTCTCCCTCTGTTGAACGCCACCTGAATCACAGACATATCCAGCTAATTACACTTTACATCACAGGACTAAATAAGCTGAAACAAAAAAATCAAGAGCAGAATAAGAGATCATGATGAACTGATTTGACTACTAAAGGTCATCAACAGTTTGGCAGCCTCACCTGAATGAGGGTCTATGAAAGTAGCATGCTTTATTCATATGGCTGTGTGAGTGTTCTTTCAGAGTGGCCCTCAGGTGGCAGCTGATGAACATCTAGAATAACAAAGCTGGATAATTTAATAAAGTAATGCAATATTCAATTGAGCAATATTAACTACAATGCATATGTATACTGTTTAACAACCAAAGAAAACTGTAGATTGAATAGGAACATAAATCTTTTGGTCACAAAAGAAAAGTTTGAGGCACACAGATTACTGTTTCAAAAACAATTATTTTATGCAGAAAGTAATGGGGATGTAAAGATTAATTATAAAATCATGATGAATCAATTCAAAGGTGTCATGGTTCACATCTGTACTCTGAAAAATGAATCGCAATAATATTGTGAGCGTCAGCAGCTGCAGAGCAAGATTTAGAAATTGAGGACGCACCACCGTCTTTTAAATTGGAGGTGTGGAAGCGTTTTGGCTTCCCCAAGACAGAAAATTAAAGAGGTGAGAAGATAACAGATGAGACAAAAACTGTGTGCAGATATTACAAGAAGACAGAGAACTACACAAATAACACAAACAACATGATGCAGCATTTAATCTACACAATGAGAGGCTCCAATCACCTCCCCTTGTTGAGAGAAAAAAAACATTAAAAGACCAAACTACACTGACAAGCGGGTTAGCAGCCCCTAAGGAATCTTTTTTCACCAGTCTCATTTTGTAAAATAAATCGTGAGAGAATCGTATTGTGAGTTGAGTGAATCGTTACATCCCTAGAAAGTAATGAGCTACTGTAAATATGGAGTTCTGTAACCTGATCCACAGACTCCTTGGTGAATTGGAAAGCTTGGACACTGAAGCAGAGTCTGTCATTTTGCTTCCGTGGGAGGAATTTGGAAGAAGAGCCTGGCACCATACTGTCCATAAGACATCTGTAATGACAGAGCATGAATCAATGAACGGCATTTATTTCACATGATGTGTCCAACTTAGTCAAATCAAAACTGAATGACAACAGCACCTGGCTGTGATTAAAATTTATTATACTTTAAATTATATGGCTAGCATGTCATTGGATTTACCACTGCGCCATATGACATGTGCTGAATTGTCAAAATGTATTCTTTCCATTTAGAATTTAATTGTGAATGAGATATTTACCCATGCTTAGTGATGAACTTGTAGCTTGGCATGGAGAGAGGGTCAGGGTTAAACGTAGCGACACAGTAGTCGACATAAAGAGTAAGAGAAGGGTGAAGAGGGGCTTTGATACCAGCCTCCAAAAACACAGCTTCCCCTTGTTGATACACCGAGGAGCGACGCGTAGAGGAACAGCCATCTACATACGACAAGGAAAAACATACACAAATATATTTTTTCATTCCCATTATAATAAGTATGACACATAGAGAAATAAACACACATATCTGTTTCTTACACAGAAAGATTACGTCAGGATTCAATGACGGTGATCTCACCTTCCATGGTACGCAGGGAGAAGTGCAGGAGGCCAAATGCACTGATAGTTAAAGTCATAGGTAGCCATGTTGGGGTTAATGCTTCCCCAGTCACTGTCTGCTTCCTGCACACAGACAATGCAGGTTTTAAAAAATAAAAAAAAGAGTTAGCGAAGCCTGACAGAAACTGTTGACCTTGTTCCTGTAAGAAATGTTTCAGCACAAGAAACCAGAAAAAGATTTGTACATGGTAAATGGACTTTTCTGTACTTCTGATTACCTGTCACACTGCAGGTCACACCTACACATTCACACTCATTTACACACTGAAGGCAGAGGTAACTCATCCCATTCATGCAAATTCACACACCAAAAAAAACCTGACGAAGCATCAGGAACAACTTTTGTTTAAGTGTCTTGCCCAAGGACACATCGGACATGTAGCTGGGGATCAAACCCCCAACCACCAACTCTACCAACTGACCCACAGCTGTCCCAAACATACATGGACCAATCAAAATACAGAAACATTGCCTTACCTTTTATAATGGCACTCAACGGGTATGACAGTTGTTGTTCCTCTTACTAACAGACTGCCTGTAGAGGTGGGAACCACAGCAGGAAACAGCACAAGCTTGTTGGTATAGACAAGCCAATCACCATATACCTTGAAATGACCAATTATAAAGGAATAGGAAGTGAAACATACCTACGTTTGGATTGAATCAATAATGTTTTGTTATTACTGCAAAGATAAAGTTATGAGGGTAATTTATCTAAAAGTATTTAAATTAGCTCAAACTATTGAATCAGAGGCAGGGTAAACGTCTGGAGTAGTCAGAGGCGCTGCTTGTCAACAGGCAAGGCAGGCAACGTGGGGCCCCAGGCCAGTAGTAGCCACAGCAGTGGCTCAAAATTTGGAAAGTTTGCAATGACAGTAGGAAACCCCCTAAGTGGCCCCATATGACAGCATTCACTCATATGACTGAAAGATGCTTGTGTAACATAACTTCTGCTAAAAAAAAAAGTGTGATGGTGTCAGATTATTTACAACACTGTTTGGAGGGGCCCCCTGTAAATGTTTGCTGTGGGCCCCACAAGACTCCACAATGGCCACTGTTGATGCTGTAGCCAACAGGCAAGCATCATATTATCAGAAATTAAATATTTAGTAGAAAATTAAATGTTAAGCTATTTTCCGATACTATAAGCCTTAACTAAACACTAGATACACCTGACTTTTAATTGTGTGACTTTATCTTAACTTGACCTTACCATGACCTCATTACTTACTCTGGACTCAGTCCCACATTCTTGTAATCCAGTTGATATGACCATTTCAAACTCTGACATCTCTGCCTTTGGTCCACATGAACTCTGGTGTGATGTGTTTGTTCCGAGTCGGACATATTCAGGTTTGAACGGAAAACAACTCTCCTTGAAAAACCGTCGGTTTATGGTTATTGTCATTTTGACTTCTCCGCACTTTATTTTCAGACCACGGGCTTCCTCTGGGGTTGTTACAGCACCTCTTTTTTCATCGTTAGAAACGCCACTGACATACAGAAAGAACACGAAAAGACAGACAACAACGGTATATCTTACAAGCGTCGTCATTTTACAACGAAAATAACAAGCACGCGATGTATTTAGAGGGAAATTAATCACAGCCAGGTGTGATGAAATGTGAAGATGCTGCCTTCAAAGTCTGCTGAAACATTGGAAAACCAAGAATTAGGTATCGTTACGACTCGAAAAGATTTTAATTAACCATTAATATTCTATACAACCCCTGATAAAGCTGATACTACATGATCCATACATGCTCCCCTTTTAATGCAGAATTACTCTTATTTGATTCCGCAGTCAAACGGCTTAAACCGACAATAAATCTGACAGTGTACCTAGAACTCAAGAAATGCTCCTGAAGGCACCATTGCTAGAGGGAAAAGCTCTAAGGCGGAACTCAAAACCGATAGCAAGTGAACCAACCGGGCTATTATTGTTGTTACACCCCGCTACCTTCGGCAGGATTATGAACAGCTGTGATTATTTTGAAGTATGATGCATTATGGTGACAGATAAATATGTCCTCGCTAGAGAAGAAAAGAGTGGATAAAACGGTTGCAAGCGAGGAATCTGATGAGATTGACTGGGGCGGAAGTGGAGCTAACCAGGGGGAGATTAAGAAGAAGATCCAAATCTTATCAAAGAATGTGCACATTGATCTTCCTGATCCACATACAGGTTCTGTGAAGTGTTCCCTGGTTGTAGGAGACTACCTCTACTTCCATTATGGCTGTGATGGACAAGACGACAGAGGCTGGGGGTGTGGCTACCGCACAATTCAAACAATGGCTTCCTGGCTTTGTCATAACTGGTCCCCTATTCAGGACAAACACAGGCCCCCACCAAGCCTCCCTGAAATCCAACAAGCTTTGGTCTGCATGGGGGACAAACCAGAATCCTTCTCGTGCTCCAAGGAGTGGATTGGAACTTTTGAAGCATCCCTGGTCCTTGACTTTTTCTATGATGTCCCCTGTAAAGTGGTTCATGTTAGAGGTGGGGGTGCAGAGCTGGAGCAGGTTGCAGTGGAAGAGCTACATCAGCACTTTCAGAAGCATGGGTCCCCAGTCATGATGGGAGGGGACCGGGATAACTCTTCTAAGGGGATATTAGGAGTGTGCACCGGGGACAAGGGGAGCTACTTGCTCGTCCTGGACCCTCACTACTTTGGGGGTGAGCTCGAAAACATGGAGCTGCAGAGGCGGGCGTGGGTGACATGGAAAAAAGTATCATCTCTGGATCACTCATCATTTTATAACCTGTGTATGCCACAGACTGGCAAAAATAAACATAAACTAAATGACTGACCAATCCTGGATTTTCTTTTTTATATAAAGTACCATTCAAAAGTTTGGACACACTTGATGGAAATGCACGTTATTATCTTAAAGACATTTGGATCTAAAGGCTTATTCTTAAATGTTGGAAATTTGTTTCTAATAGAAATAGAATTAGTGAAATTGATGCCTACATTGGCTGTGTTTGCATTTCTTTCCAAATCAAAAGTGATCCGTTGGATAAAATCGATATATTGTAAGAAAAAAAAAGATTAAAAACCCTTGATGAAAATAACAGCTCTTTTTCTCATTGCTCCATTTGCCTACCTACTGTTTGAATCCAACCATCTTGAACTCACATTAGGAAAGTTAATACCCAGCATGTTTGTTTCCTGGAATGAAAAGTAAAGTTGCATTGAAGTTTTTGTGGAAAACTGATCTTGAACAAACATTTTGAGGTATGTCAAGTAGCTGAATGTTTTATTGAAGGCGCTATAGCATTATACATAATCGTTTTTGTGAACATAATAATAACAACTTAAATTCACCTTGATCAATTTTCCATAGGTTTTATTGGAACTTTGACAAAAAATAAAATCATTCATGTGATTATTCAAACCAACATTGCTGATCATTGTATTGGTACAGCATCTTAAATATGCAGTTTTGTGGATTATCTTTATCTTTAAGAGATATTAGAATATATATTATTATAATGCTCTGCCAAAAAAAATAACTTGTAAAAGTCACCTTAAGTTTCAGGGTTTTAAAGAGAATTTTTACCAAATATTGACAATTCACAGACAAAATCAAGAAAAAAGATGAATTAATAGTTACACACTCTCCAATCATTTGAAATACTATGAGTTGACTACACATCTAAATATGAAGCGGAAAGAGCCCCAAACCAGTGACACCATACTAGAAGATGAATGTATATCAAAGGTCTGCTCTCTTTCTCTCAATTGTTTGGCCCACAATCATTATAAAAAATCTGAAAATTCTGATCCACATTCATCCTCCCTTTGAGAAACCTTTCCAGGTTTTTCAGAGGAACTTCCACCATGTGGTTGTTGACTCGATCATTCAGCCCATAAGCACCGAACACAGGGAACTTGTAGCGGACAAAGTACGGAGCATTTTGATCGAACTCGGTGCAGCAGTAGGCCGACCACATGTACTCCGGAACGGCCAACCGGTTCAGGTTGCTGCGACGGATGGTGTGCCCCGAGGTGGTGACGCCTGTGACCACGAAGGCTTTGCCACGGCAGTAGTTGTTGAGACGCTGGCGGATGATGTCTTGGTGTTCTGCCCAAGGACCCAAGTTAAACTCCCTGATCTGGGGTACCACATTCGTCAAGCTGTAGGTGGCGGCTTTGTCCAGAGGGTCGGCCTGATGCTCGTCGGGATTAAGTTGGCCACGTTCATACTGAACCACATTAGCGTAGTCATCCAGGACTGCTTGAGTGTCCTCAAAGTTCATATGCATGCCTGCAGATTGGGGGAAGGGCTCCATGTTACTGCTGCTCTTTTCTGAGGCCAGCTATAGAAGGAGAGAGAGAAGGAAAAGATTAGATTTACTGTGCCCTTTTACAACTTCTGGAAGGATAAAGCAGAAATTCATTTGTTTACATTCATTCAGAGACATTCACAGAAAACCTATTTGCAAATGGCAGATTTACACAACTACTTCATAGAACATACAAAGTCAAATACCATTTGTTGTTAATAAATGAGCTTATCTCAAGCTTACTTTGTTGCCTGTAGCAACTGCAATAGTTGCCCCAGCTCTCTACGCTGCTCATTGTTCAGTCTATATTTTCTTTGTCTAAAGACATAATGGAATCCTTGATCTTGATTCATGCAATTTGATGTAGCATATTGCATGATGTGAAACTATAAAAACCGCGCTGTATGGTGCTCTTTAGGTTGGCATATTTACCTTTTTTGAAGTGACAATACCAGCAGTGTTGGAGACTTTTGATTCGCCTTAAAGGGCTGATTATCTCTGATCGACTTCACAATATTTACAATACAATTCAGTGTACAAGAAGCACTTTTAAAACCTTTTTAGTCTTTAATAGTTGGCTTTGTCCGATATACCAGTGTGACCAATATACCAGTGTAAAATGCTGAGACATGTGTGCATCATTACTGCAAAGGTAGGGTAGCCAACATCATCACAAACTGCATGAGACCCCATTCATTGTGTATTGAAAGCGGCTGCTTCACCCCCCCCAAAACGTGCTGGGATACATAGTGATGTATGGGTGATGGATAGGTCTGTGATGCACAGAGAAAGTATCCACAATAGGTTGGTTTTGACACTTAGGCTTAAAACAGATCTGTCATTAAACTAATATTTGGAAAGGACTCTCACCTGAGGCTCAAACATCCAAGGAAAGTCCACCTTCTTCTCCCCGTCTGACTTCTTGAAGGTATAGGCAGAGTAGATGGGGATGTGATCCCGAGAGTCATAGAGGGTGACATAGCGGGGTTGATCCTCGTACCTCTGGCAGATCTTCTTAAAAGAGTTACTGAGGTAGCCTCGGGGTGGAGTGCCCATGTACAGAGAGTCCTTACAACGCTCTGCATGGTTGAAATCCACCACCACTCCTGCCTGGGCCCCCTGTAGCAAAACCAAGGTCAGCATGGTCATGAGAGCTGCCAGGACAAAGGCACGGTTTTCTGAAGTAGGTGTCATTATAGAAGCCCTTTACCTCCTTTTAGACCCTGATACGTCTGCCCGTGTGTATCCTTCTAACATGTAATACTTCAACGTTTTTTCTAACAAGTACAGCCTCTACTCTAGCCTGCCTCATCTGTCCTTTAAGCAAACTGGTCTGCCATTGTAAAGTATTTTCCATAAATGCAAAATACCAGCTGGGAACATAGCAGGAATTCAAAAGTTGTGAATGTTATCAATCAAAGAGAGTGTTTTTATTACACTGAACTGCAGAGGGGGAAAAAAATGAGCTGATTCTATCATTATAAAAATTATACTGTCCCTTCAAGTACAGCAAACATAGAGTTTTACAATAAAGGTGCACTAAGTAGATTTGGTAGGGAAATGTTAAAGTTGGAGAAGTGAAACAATTCTATGCTTTATTTTCTGAACTAAATACATAAACTTAACTTTACTTTGTTCCAGGGACAAAATAGGTCCCTGGAACCCTGTTTGGAGCTAAAAAGCTACCAGGAGAGTTACTGTTTCACTGTTGCGGACCCCCCACCTTAACTTCTCATTAGCATTTTATCTTCAAACAGTGTTACAGGGACCACATGTTCCTCTGACACAGTTTGTGTATAGCGTTACGAACATATACTTCACAATCTGTACATTTCTCCAACTTTCACATTTCTCTACCAAAACTCCATAGTGCACCTTTAATACACAATTTTACTTTTTACTTTTTGTTAAGTCAGAGTAACAGTGAATGAAAGAAAAACTAAAACATACAAGTCAGAAGAAAAGAGAAGGCGCCTATTTCAATGTGTGTGTCTGAGAAAAGAGTGATATCAGATCAGTGGCTTATGATGTAGTTCTTCTTTTACAAATGCAAAGCATGTGCCTGTGTCAGCTCATGCTTTCGAGGGAGATACACAATAGTACAGAACATCTGCAGGCTCCTCAACCCTCAAAGCCCAATATTTTGAACCGGTATTAAAACCAGTGAGTTTTAGTCTTTTATGTACCTTATAAGGTCGACAACAGCAGTGACCACATGGAGAGCTTGGTGAATATAGCACTATCAATTTTAGTGCCAGTGCAACAATATTGCATGAGATTTTTCATGTTAGTCAGGGAACATTGTACAGATGAAAGGTGAGGACTATACAAAAAGAGGCCGTATAGCCTTAAGTCTAAATAATCACGTTCTCTTAAAGGTGTAGTTTCTTACATGTGATAATACATTGTCTGTATGATGTTAACTTATGTTAATGAAGATTAAAAAACAACTTCAGAGAGAGTTTAATAACAGTTTGAAACAGTTTATTTGTTTATTTGTTTGACAAAGCAGGAACATCTGTCCACATTTTGAGTGAGGCATAATGTAGGGTGTTCAAATGATTGAGAGATCTGTTAAACAAATTCGTTTTTAAATGTGTTTTGAAACAAAAAATACAAATTCCTAATTTTTTTACATAATTAAGATAGTTTATTATGCTCCAAATATTGTCACATTTGACATTTTACAGCATGGTTCAGCACAATGGTGTGAATAAACAAACAATGACTCGATGCATTTCCTTCACACTAACCTGCCTGGGACGTCAAAAATCAAGCAGGTTCATTGTTAATGCCATCATATCACCTTCACTTTCCATATAAGTCAAAACTAATTTAGCTTCAGTAAGAAGAAGAGACAGTGGAGACACGATGGCCTTGTAGCTTCTATGTAGTTATATCTTTACCTATTTGGTTTTACTAGCTGCTGGTACACAATCCTTCACAAAGATCTGAAAGTTCTGATCTACAAAAGTTGTCCTTGTGAGGAACTCCTTCAGCTTCTCCACTGAGACCTCCATCAACTCATTGTTGTGCTCGTTGAGACCGTAGTGGGCAAAAGATGGGAATTTATGGCGCTCGTTATAGGGCGTGTTGTGGTCGAAGTCGACACAGCAATAAGCCGACCACAAGTATGTGGGCACTGCGATGCGGTTCATGTTTTGCCGGCGAATCATCTTCCCTGAGGTGGTGATACCTGTGACAATGTAAGCGGTACCACGGCAGTAATTGTTGAGCCGTTTGCGGATGATGTGCTCCTGTCTGCTCCAAACTCTGTTGATGAAGTCCGGCACCATCGGCACAACATTGGTGAGGGTGTAGGTGGAGGCTTTGTCATCCGGTTCGTTCTGATGCGCGTCTGGGTTGAGGGTACCGCGCTCGTAATGGATGGCATTTGTATAATCATCTAGAACAGCTTGGGCATCTTCAAAATTCCTGTGCATGTAACCGCTCGGGAAAGGCTGCATCTCACCTGTGTCAGTGTATGTGGATAGCTAGGGAGACAGACAAAGACAATGAACAAGTTTGAATCTATTAATCAATCAATTTTCATTTGTATAGCGTCAATTCATAACAAGTGTTATCTGGAGACACTTTACAAAAAGCAGGTAAAATACCTTACTTATTGTTATGTTACAAAAAGCAGGTAAAATACCTTACTCATTGTTATGTTACAAAAAGCAGGTAAAAGACCTTACTTATTGCTATATTACAAAGACCCGGCCTATCCATCATGAGCACTTTAGCAAAGCAGCAAAAGTTACAGTGGTAAGAAAAAACTGCCTTATTAAAAGGCAGAAATTTCAGGCGGATCCCCGGCTCATGACGAAACAGCCTTCACAGGCCTAGACTGTGCCGGGCTAGCCACAATATCTCAGAGCAGATCAATTAAAGCATACTTTCTTATCACCTCGTGTGCGCCATGCTACTTTTCTTTACCTGAGGTTCGTACATCCATGGGACATCCACACATTTCTCCCCGTCTGAGCGTTTGAATGTGTAGGCTGAGTAGACAGGTATGTGGTCCACGATGTTGTACAGTGTCACATAGCGTGGCTTCTTGTTGTAGTGTTGACAAATGAAGTGGAGGGACTGATGCTCCACTCCACTCGGCGGTGTTCCCATGTAGAGGAATTCTCTGCACTCTGGAGACAGCTCTTTTTCCACTCTCCCTCGAACGGCTGATGATAGCATGTTGACAGCAAGAAAAAACGTCTTCACCCAGAACGCCATCATGGTGGAACTCTTGCGAGATGTTAAAGCTTTCAATTCAATGTCACTATGCCTCTGTGAGCTGCTACAAATGTTTGAATATGTCTATATCTGACCATAGAGCTCAGTCAAACAGCCGCCGTTAAAACTTTGCCACCTGCTATCATTACATTACTACATGCAAAACAATTCCCTTCATTTACAGCAGCAGATCCACCCACAAGCTGAAGAACAGCCACATGACATCAGTGGCAAAGAAATACATGTTTTACTTATTGTTGGGGATGAAGGTAGAAAAGGTTACACACCACTTCTAAATCTCTTTAAAGCATTCATAAAATACACAAAATGTTTTGTACAATTCTTGTCAGATTTCTACCATTTTGAAGGAATCTCATGTAAATCCTGCTGGAAAAGTTGTATGCTTGAAATGTAGAATGTCTTTTTTGTTTACAAAGGAGGACAGATTATCTTGCATTCAGAGAATTAATTTGTTATATATGTAGGCTAATACACTTCAGCTCATTGATGTAATAATTTCTTCCTCGTTGAAACACTTGAATAATTAAAGATATGGAACAAACTGATATAATAAAAACTACATTAAAGGTATTAGCCTAAACCTATATCCATACTTAAATGTATTTAGTAAAAGGAGAATACAGGGACATTTCATACCGGTGCAGCAATCAACGACAAACTAATAAGCCATTATAAAACTGTTAAATTGCTCAGGGAAAGTTATGAACTTCCATCTACCAGTCAATACCTTATCCAATGCTCCAAGTCCCTTGATCTGCTGTGAAATGTTTTAAGGTACTTCATTTGAAAGAAATGCCTATAGCAGAAATGTACAGTTTGTAATATTACAAAAAAGAAAATGTGGCTTAAATCAAGGACTGTTTTGTATTTTATTCATGTTGTAAATTATATTATTGCTGTAAAACATGACTATACTATTCAACAATGTTCTTTATTTATAACTTAACAAGTTAAGAAAATGTCACAATAGACACACAAATAATATCCACAGTAAAGGTTGTAAGCATGTAAATGGATTTGAGCATGTAGCACCTTTCTAGTCCTCTGACTACTCAAAGTGCTTTTTACACTGCAGGACGCACTTACCCATTCACACACTGATGGCAGAGGTTCCTATGTAAAGTGTCCATCAATATTAGCTGATCACATTCATACACATTTACACACTGCTGACACAGCAGTGGGAGCAATTTGGGGCTAGTGTCTCAGTGAAATTCTGAACAAGGTCCACACAACATAAATGTATGAATTTCATAAAGGGAAGTATAAATATAGAGCTTTGCTCTCAAACTTTAAGAAGGTCTGCTAATTGGCTCATCATGCTGTGATTTTTTCCAATAGGCCTGATAACACATAGAGACCTTTCAACAGAAATCAAACCCATCCTATCAAGCACATACTGTTTATGCAAATGAACTTTCTCCTTCTATAAACTGGCTGGCATGTTGGGAAAAAAAGCAGATTCCACATAGGTCTGTGGTGTTCAGTACATTTTATATAAAGGCTGCATCGTTGGCTGCTCCTCAAGTTCCATTGGTCAGGTCTCTCTTTTTCTTGAAGGGGTTTTCTGACACACAGCCTTTGTAGAAAATAGTCAGGTCACCATCTGTGTCTATCTGACTTTTCAGGAAGTTTTCCAAAGTCTTTAGTGGGACTTCCACCATTTCTTGGTCAGTTTGTTCATTTAGCGCATAGCCTCCATAACTAGGGAACATGAACCTCACTTCATAAGGAGAGTTACGGTCAAACCGTGGGCAACAGTAAGCCAGCCATAGGTGTTCTGGGATTGCCAGGCGGTCTCTTTTATCTCGTTTGATTGTCGCACCAGAGATGGTAACCCCAGTCACTATGAAAGATTTGCCGTGGCAGAAGTTGTTGAGGCGACGGCGGATAACATCCAAATATGGGTTCCAGGTGCTTTCCAGAAAGTTTGTGAGTAATGGAACTACATTGGTCAGAGTATATGTGGAGGATTTGTCATTTGGCTCTGATTGGTGCAGGTCAGGATTCAACGGGCCACGTCTATATTCCACTGCATCTGTGTAGTCCTCCAGCACAGCCTGGCTGTCCTCAACCAGAGGCGGGTTATCGTCAGTAAGTGCAAGAGCTCTCATGTTGCCACTGTCTCCAACAGAAACCAACTGTAAAGAGGAGAAAAGTGAGGAAAAGAGTGTCAATTCATTATAATAATAACAACACAAGAAGAAAAAGAAGAATAAATGAGCCAGCAGTTTATTAGCTTAGCTAAGCACAAGGACAGCTAGCTTTTAAAGAAAACATACATATAAACACATTATTTTTTACCCAAAATATTTCTCTCTAATCCCAACATTATTGAAATAATCAGTACCTCTGTGATATGAAGGTGAAGGTGAAACTATATTGGGAAAAAGTGCATAATTACTATGGCTAGCCTTGGCTAAACTAGCTAACGAGCTGCTGGCTAAAGCTAAATATATTAGCAGACAGAAATTAGAGTGAGAGATTTCAAATAGGCCTTCACACTTTTCTTCAACAGAAACATTTTAAGGGACATGTTTGTTAAATTCAAAGGTGATTGGACCCACAGTATCATGTTGCTATGTCTATTGTTTTATCCTGCATGAACCTGTTGAAGGATTTTATGTGTTATCCAAATTGTACCTTCAGAAATTGACATAATTAAACCAATCTTAAACCCAAATCCAGCCTTAAATATGTACCTTTTATGATATCACCATAGTTTTTACTTCTTCTTGAGGATATGTTATGATAGCCTAATTATACTCACTGATCTTCATGCAAGATCTCAGACACCCACTCTGCAAGACAGAGCACTGCCTCAGGTCGTTCATCCCATCTGCCATTAGACTGTTCAAATCAGACTCTTTAACAGTATCTCCACTCATATCAATAATGCTACACACTGTGTGTGTTTTTAATAACAATAACTCTTTCCACAAGTGCCTTTATTTAACTGATGTAAATATGTTTGATTTTTAACTTCTTGTTATTTTTAATAATTATATTCCTGTTTCCTGTTTTCTTAAGCTGTTGTAACGCAAAGATTTTCCCCATGGGAGATCAATAAAGTTTATCTTTATCTTTAAGATATGATGAGATTAAAACAGGGTTTTGGCAACAATTATTGCCTCTCCATGGTCTGTCAGGTTAAACAAAAGTGACAAATCAACCAATAATATTAGGTCTTCTCCCTACCTGTGGCTCAAACATCCATGGCGTGTCCATCCTTTTCATCCCATCAGACTTCTTAAAGATGTAGGCTGAGTAGAGTGGGAGGCGGCGGCTGCTGTCATACAACGTGGCGTAGCGCAGTTCATCTGCATACTTCTGGCAGATCCTCTTCAGGCTGGTTCCTTTTATTTCCGCAGGTGGCGTCTGCATGTAGAAGAAATGGCTGCAGTCTCTGAAGCTGCTGGACACACTGGCACTCACCACTGGAAATGTGGTCAGCAGGGAGAAAGACAGGATGCAGATGCAAAACAGAAGCATCATCACACAGCTGGAGTAGAAGAAAATAATTTGAAACCAGGCAATTTTGTCATCATATGCGGCTTGTCGTGTGGTCTCAAACACTACTTTAAATAAAGGGATTACATGGGGATGAAGAGTTCTGTATTTAAGACGCTGTTGTGATCTAGTAATGTGTAATGACGGTTGGACAGAGAAACTCAGTAGTATATGTAAAGCAGCAGCAGCTCAGAGAGGTTGTATTGGTTGGATGGTTAACTTATCTTCCCCTACACTGTCTACGCATGCCATGCATCTCTGCACGAGCTTCTGTGCATGTTATTTATTCAATTCCCTCTATTATATTTTTTTCCAATTTGTGAATGTAAAGCTTGATTATGTACAAATGTTTCCAACAATTTTTGCAATAAAATTTGTTCATCTGTCTTTCAAAAGGCCTGCATTTATATGATTTGCATTAAACTTTTGCTTGCAAACTCATGTAGTATACTGTACATCTGACCTAATAGTTCTCCTTAAAAACACAACTGTATGGTTGATACTGTAATCGCCTACAGAGATGGTTCTTTGCAGCAGTTTAGTGTTTGCTCCATACACAAGTGATACACACAGTGAGTCTTAATATATTAAAACTCGTTGATTTAGGATATTCTGTTAAGTTAATGTATTTTTTCGGAACACTAAATTGTGAAATCAAGCCATCTTTTGACTGAGTATACGCAGTCATTTTCTATATAATGCCAGAGTTAGACCTTGTCAAATAATTTTGCCATAAAGTTCTGTCACATTGACAAACATTAAATTGCTTTGTTCTCCATGAACTACGCATATTATTTCTCTTGATACATTTCAAAAAACTTTGCACTTAAATGGTGTGATGATGCCCTATAACAAAATAATTTCTCAAGCACAAATAGACATTCCAGTTTGGGTATTTCATTCCATTATTTATAAAAGTACAACTGTTGAACACATAAATACATCATGTTGGTTTGTTGCCCTCTAGTGGTAATTTTAAACACAAAACCATTAAAAATTCTTAACACTGACTGTAATCCTCAGTACTTTTTATAAGGGATATGTCATTCCTATTCACAAAAATGCGGTCGTTTTTATCCCTTAGTAACTTGGAAACAGTAATTCATGCATTTATTTCATCTCATTCTGCAATTCACTGTTCTCTGGTCTTACACAACACAACATAAACAAACTCCAACTGATCCAAAATGCTGCAGCTAGATTCATAACCAGGTCCAACAGAGAGAGAGAGCACATCACACCGGTTTTAAAATCACTTCACTGGCTCCCAGTCCGTTTTAGAATTGATTTTAAAACTCTTGTGATCCTTTTAAAGCTTGTCAGATTATATTGCGGACCTCCTGACCCCCTACGAGCCCCCATGCAACCTGAGATCCTCCGGTATTACTTACTATACCAACCTTAAAACCCTATAGGCTGTGGAATGACCTGCCGGAGGAGACCAGGGAAGCAAACACACTGCCTTCTTTTAAGTCACTTTTAAAAACTCATTATTTTAGACTCGCTATTTAACGATTTTATGGTTTTATTGTTGTTTTATCTCCATGTTATGTTCTACCACCTGTCACCTTTTGGCTTAATTGTATGTAAAGTGCTTTGTAACTCGTTTTGAAAAGCACTACACAAATAAAGGTATTATTATCATTATTATTATTATTATTATTATTACCATTATAATGATACCATTACATGTTTTGAGTGTTGTTTTAAATATACTGTTGTATCTAAATTTATAACATGTGTGGATACCATGTTTTACAATTAAACATAGCTGCCCTGCAAAATATGTTATATAGCTATCTAAATAAACCTGGGTGGACAGTAAGAAAAACACTGTTACGGCTGGATTTACTTGTTGGTAGCACTGAAGCAAAAATTAGTTGATGAGCCGCTACTGAGCCTAGCTATCTTTTTGTTTTGTTCCAGTGACACTGACACTAACCAAAAACTTGTTGGTTGATGAATTTAGATACAATGGTGACAATGTTGATCCTGCTCTGTGCTGCTCTAAATTGAAGGTGGAGTGGCAATGCAATTAAACAAAATGACCACAAACAATTGATAGAGAAGAGAGCCTGGGGCTTTAACTTCTTATTAAAGTGTCTGTGGAGCACACTTGAGTGATTTTATTATTAAGATGAGCAAATATTCTCTGATGCTCCTCTATTTATGATAATTAACCTTATATGTATATTTTTTAATTACATTGCAGTATAGGTATATTTCCCCTTTTCCTACTTGCTAATTTACTTATTTATGAATTTTAAATGAAATGTTTGTCATTTAAATGTCAGGCCTCAGTTGAGATTTGAGATGTGTTTGCTTCATTCTTCCTCTTTGCATCCACAGTGTATCTGATGCAGTGTGGAATAATCTAAGTGATGATACACACTTGCACCAGTATTGGTTTTATTTTCTTTAATAGTTTCCCATTTACATGTTTTTCGTTCTGGTCTTCATGTTTATTAAGGAGTTCCAAGTTTGAAAGAAGCAGGCTGTGAGCACTGCTGCAAATCATAGAGGTGTATATTCATTGTGTGTATGATTGGTATTCAACAGCGCCATCTGCTGGCTAAAATTAAACAGCCTTTCATAACAGTATTGAGCATGCTATTTCTGATATTGCCGCTCAACATGCCCTGCGAGTCTTTCAGTTCACTTTCAAAGGGTCGCAAATTACTCACATAATGCCATTATGTATTCGAAGCACGATACTGACTGCAAAATACACACACACACATACATAAACACACACATATATATTATATGTATATATTTTAGGAACTGCATCTTGCTGCCTTGCTAATTTAGAGCTCACTATTTTCGATAAGATAAGATAAAATAAGATAATCCTTTATTTATCCAACAACGGGGAAATTTACAGTGTTACAGAAGTACATTTTAAAAAAATAAAATAAAATAAGAATGTACAAAAAAAATAGATAATACAAAAAATAGATTTTTTTTAAATGAAAAATAAATAAATAATAATAATAATAATATAAAAGAATGTACATCCCCCATGCTAAAGTTACCGTGGCTCCTCTGTTTAGTGGCTTTTTATCCCATTCAGCCAACACACTCTGCATTTGAACATGCCGTTGCAAAGTGCGGTGCACATCAGTGTCCAGGCTGGTAAATAGGGGTGTGTGTGCACTGCTACAACATTGGTTAGCCGCTTGTCAATGTCCAGTCACGTGGTATCACACGGACGGCCATGTTTCCTGAAACACAAACAACAAGAGGAGCAGCGACCGGGAGCCAGCAGACACATACTGATACGCAGCTGCGACCGTAGGAGGCGAGGGGGACAAAATAATAAATACAATACAGAGCGCGACTTTCTGAAAGTACGATTCTGTCGAATGAATACGTTTACAGTGATTAAAAAGACCAATGCATACGACATATTGGCTGTAGAGACGCCGTGCAGACCACCAGTCTGGTAGCTATAAACAGTGAAGGTAAGCCGTGGTTCCTCTTTCCAGCTTTAGCTAGTTAGCTAACGTGTGCTAACGAGCTAACTGCTGCAGCTCAAACGGCGTGAATATATATCAGGTGTGGAAAGCATTCCTACCAAGTTCGTTTTTTTGTAATTTTGAAAGGCTAATCTTTGTTGTTTGTGTTTTGTTTACATCGCGTTAGCCGTACAGCAGAGTAGTGGAGGTGGTCGTCCCGCACATTGGCGGAGCAGGCCGGGTAGTCTGAGTCCAACACTCCGCCCCCTCCGCCATCATATCTGGTGTCATTTCAACCTACAAGCAAAGGCCTCTACCATAAAACACCGTTCGCTAGCCAATCCATTTCATTTCTGCAACCAAAGTGTGATATTGTGGGGAGAATATTGTTGCAGAAGTTGATTAATCTCCATTTTCCCACTAATATAGAAACTATCTTGAAAAACGAACAATACAAACCAATGCAACATTAGCTCGTTAGCTTACGTCAGCTTGCGCTATTCTGTCTGATATCTCAGCCATCTAAACTACTTAACATTGTTCAGTTTTTAAAGTTGCATTTCATCGTACAGTGATTACCGGGTTAAGATTCGCTTCAATATCTGCTTCAGTTCATATCATGACCCCGCCACGTTTTGAAATGCACAACATTTTCAAATAGTCAAATTCATAGTAAACGTTTTATTCTTGCAACAATGCTGGAGCAGACGTGAGGTGACCTTTGCTTCGTCTCAGCTTTCGTATAACCTACGAAATACCAGATATTTACATTTACAATATGTCAGATATGTTCATGTCGAAGACTGAAGTTTGAAGCTATAATAGCTGCTAACAGGCTAAACATGCTTTTCTGCTTTATCTTGAAAGAAAGTACTGCTGTTTGTATTGTTTTAACCAAAAGTGCCATATATATATATATATATATATATATAACATTTATTTATTCATCCTGCTGCTTTTAAAGTGCTTAATCAGTAAAAGTATATTTAAAAACATTTCAAGTGTGATTAAAAGTTTCTAATAATTCTTAAATATTTTCACAAACTAATAATATACAGTGACATTGCATTGCATAGGATGTAAATTGGCCTGTCAGAGTGTCTGTTAACCAAGGTATGTTTATTAACTTTCAAACTGCGTTGAAAGTACATTTTTAAAAGTTTTAAATTGCAAACACATTTCTCTCAATTTTATGTAGATTCACAGTGTAAGTGATGTATGATATGGATTTTATCAGGTGATTCCGCTTATTGACAAGTACCTGCTTCTCATGGCTAATACCAGTAACTGAAGTCATCATTTCAAATGTTGTTTTAAAAAAAAAAAAAAGAAGTAATGACCTATGCACTTCCAAGGGTTAGAGATACTGGGACAAATGTTCAGTATTCATCTTTTTATGTTTCGGGTGAAAACAAGATAGTTTTCATGCAAATCAACATGATAACAATGTCTGTCAACATGATACCAATATAACTGTTTTAAAGGTCAAATATTAGCTGAGGTTATTGGCTTGATGTTGCCAATCTCTAGTGGGAACCAATTGGCATAATTCATAATGAGATGCTGAAGTTTTAACATTAACTGTAATCGGCACAAAAGACTGCAAGGTTAATCCTTAATAACTTTTTTATTGATTTTGATTTAACTATTAATTCTTATTAGAATGACACTTTGGTTGTAAGCAGGTTTTAAAATGATATCTAAATGATAGAAGGACTCTTTTAAGTAAACCACAATGTTTAGACATTTCTGGTAGTTTCACAGTGGCAGGAACACTACTAACCATACCATAAAGTCTTATCATATGCTCAGTTACTCAAAGATTGTGTTTAACTTCTCTCAGCAAAAACTGAATCACATAGCCTACCAACACTCGGAATGTTAATGCAATGGTGCTATAATCCATTATTCTGTGCTGCCCCACACCTAAAGCATGAAAACAATTTCTGTTACATTGTGTCTTGAGTTTGAGTCGGTGTAACAACAGTAACACTCAGGTAGGTCAGCATTGACCAATATTAACCAGTTTCTCCAGGTGTCAGAGTCTTTGTCTGTCACAGTTGTGTCCTAAAATGCTTGATTTCACGGCAGCCATACCCAGCCATAGCCAAATAATTTCTATGTAATTTGGATTGCTTTGAGTCTGTTCTTTGCGTGACACTTTACGCATCCACTATGAGCGACTGGTACACGCGCTCCAAGAAAGTCATCTTTAGGCTGAGGTAGCTGTTTGTTTCTTGACATCGCTTTAAACAATTGGCATGTCACGCTGCAAAAAGAGTGTAAAGGCTGAATTAAGCTTCAGTAAATTTACCATGGAGTGTTAAAATCGCACTCTAGTTTACCGTTGCATTGCTCTACATATGGCAAAAGGAGAATCTAGGCGCTATCTCTTACAATACCTTCCTATTGTTGGATTTGGGTTTTGAGCTAGTCTGTCATTGATAACGAGATATTTTCTAGCTGTACAATTACTCTTGAGGTGTGCGTTGACACACAGCTGTATAAGAGCTGTCTAATCTACACCACAGCATATGTCTGATGTGCACCTTCTCAAAAATGTAACATTGTATTTCCTGCATTTAAAATATTTCTGGGCAATGCTGACGTTTTCAGAATTCTGCTGAAGGAAGAACGCTACAAGTCTGTATAAGCAATTGCAGTCTTAATATTTATCAGCTCCAACTCCAACATAATGTGCTCCGTTTTCAGTTGCCATGGTTTCATGTACACAACCAAGCACGCAACGTGGCGGCACCAAAAACTTGCGATATAACAAGAATAGAAATCAGACTGCAAACTACGGTTTGTAGGTGGAGTATTTCAGAGCTATGCAGACACACCAACGTACAAGTATGTAGTTCTCACAACAGCCTAGGCCACTACTGTACAGCTAGCGGGTAGATTCAAAGCAGAAGTATTAACCAGGCTTTAGGAACACAGCCTCTGATTGGCCAATAGACATAAGACGGGGTATAGTGGCTTGGCTAAGTGGAATGCAAATCAATTTAATTAAGAAAAAATGATAAATAATCCCCAAAACAAATTCAGCTTGGGATTTATTTATCCTAATGCATTTACGGTCTAGTCTCTTCAAAAAGTCAATGCAGTTTAAAGGCCGGATGTATAAGGTACCAAAAGAGCTAAGGCTGCAAAGGAGCTCTAGTAAGAACGGGCAGGTGTCTGCTTGATAGCAAAACAGGACATACATGATGAGTAATGATTGGTCCAATTTACAGAAAATGTAGGTTGAAAGGCTGCACAATTTGCACAAGTTTTTGTGATTGCAACATCCTGGGGGGATGTTAAATTGCAACATCCTGGGGGATGTTTAAAGTTTCCTAAAAATTATGCAGTGGTCAGCTTTTTGAAGCAAAAACCCCCAGACAAAATACACTCGAGTCTGGGTTTGCTTGGAAGTTCAAACAAAGTGTGTGAAGGTGCTCTTTGGTGGGCTGCACAAAAATTCAAAAAAGATGAAAAGACCAAGGCACTCCTCTGAATAAAGGGTTTTAAATTGGCTTTTTAATCATGGAAATATTTTAAAACATAGGTCATAAAAAAGCCAGGTAACATCCAACATGCAGCGGCACAAACAGCCTTCTTCATGGTCATCAGCTTTTTTTGTTTTTAACAAAGTGACATTTAACGACAGAGAAGAAATCCATGTAACAAATCTAACACCGCTCGGTCCTTTTCTTAATCTTAACAATAACTTTAACTGTGTGTGAGCATTAACTATTGAATTAATTGAAGTAACTATACTATTTAGTTGCCATGATTTTCAAGAGCTATCCCCAACCAGCTTCCACCACAACTCATTGTAACGGACTCTCTAGGTTTCTGGGTGGAAAATGTCCCATGAGCAGCAGTAATATTGGGCAATGATTGAGCACTAGACTACAAAGAGTTTTCTTTTTTTTTCATTTATTCTGTCGAGGAATACCACAGTGTTATTCTGTCCGCTAACTGTGCTGTGACGCCTCGATCAAATCGGGCCAGTACCACTCAGGGAGTCCAAGACCCGCTGCAAAAATGGTGTGTCAAGGCTACACATCAGAAAATTGAATTACACTTCGTTCCTATCACAATATAGGCAGGCTGCCGAGCTTTAAAAAATGCATCTCACCAGAAACTAATCCATGTGCACACTTCTTACATTGTTCTCTCCATCCCATTTCCAGTGGTGCAAAAGGAGGAGGACAGGAAATAAAGGAGTTGCCTGGAGGGTCTCCATCAATCCGCATTTCAGCTGGAGGGAGAGAAAAAGGCACGGAGAGCAAGAGAGAAAGGAGAAGAGGAGTGCGGGTCGCGTCTGCTCCTGGCAGCTGTTCCAGCAGCCTGTTCGTTGTTTTGGCTGTTATTTCGTTCTGGAGTTTTCTTTTTGATGAATCGGTTTATATTTTAAACTTTAATGTGAGATATTACTGCTGTAAAAAGAAAGGAAGAAGAAAACTAGCAAACAGTTTTATTTTTGTTCCATTGTTGATTTTTCCATGGTTCTTTTGTTTATTTTTTATGTTTAACAACCTTTTTGGGCTGTGAGTAGCAGGAGCTTCCATTCTCCAAACTATTGTTGAAACCCCTTCCTTAACTAGTTAGGACCTGATAACCTGATATTCCTCAAGCACCTGAAACTGGCAGCTATTCTCTTTGTGTCTGTGTGTTTGGGGAGCTCTGTGACCACAGCTTAAGCACCACTCAGCCTTCTAGTCACCTAAGCCTAACTAAAGCAAGCCAGCTCTAGCCTGGTCCAGCTCAGTCCAGCCTGCTCCGATCATCTGGACAGGGTAAGGCACTTCAGAATATGTTTATTTCTTTGCTATTTGAACATTTCATGCACTATTTAATGGCAAAAATAAAACAATGTTTTTTCCTCAGATACTCAGTTCTGTGTGGACGTGAGGAATATGACTGCTGAGACTCTTAACTTCGGCCCAGAATGGTAACTGAGCTCACTTCTTTCTGTTATTTGAACTTTGTTTTTAAAGTAGCACTGGAAACACAAGTAACATGCACACATATAGATATGATATCACATTCTAATTTTCACAAACAACAAAATGTAAATGTGGTTTCCATCATATTGACCACAATGATTCAAGTTTTGGAAGATTTAATTATGTGGATGATTTCAAGGTATACTGTATTTTTTTATTCTGAAGTTTTTTTTTTTGTCTGTCAGTCACCACCATATTTTTTAAATGCTTGATAATGATGTTGTTTATAACTGAACTGTTGGACAGTGGCACCGGCAGCCTAGTCTGTGTCACAATGTTTCCCAGCATGCTTTGCACAGTGAAGTGGCCGCTTGTTATACACAATCAATGGGAGCGAATCTCAAGCGCATCAGGCTCAATGGATGAAGTTTCGGTGCACATCAATTTATACTGCTTTATTGGTTGCATCAGTGCAGCATATAGGATGCAGCCCTATTCTTAGATTTAAAGAAGTAGTTGTTTAAAGTACGTCTTTGGGGCGCTGGTAGTGTAGTGGTTGGTGCGCGTGCCCCTTGTAAGCAGGCTATAGTCCTCACAAAAGCCCCCATAATAAATCTTTAAAAAAAAAAAAAATGGAGCATCATTAGTACTGAAGTTCACGGCAGTAATGAAATGAATAGATTTCTGCGTGTTGATATGAATTAAGAGTGCGGTCACACTGGCAATGTTGTCGTACTGTGCTTAAACGGGATTGCGTCCCCAACCCAATTCCGAGGCTGGCATGCACTACCTGCGGTCACACTGCTCCAGGACAAACCGGGCCCAAGCACGGTTACCTTTTGTACATAATGTTGTAATACAGCTCATGAATGGCTTTATGTTATTATGAAGCGTGCTCATTTTACAAGATAGACAGACTCGAGATTTAAAAAAAAAAAAGGATACGCAGTCTGCGTCTGCACATCGGAGAACATGACAGCTACTTTACTGACTTTGTGTCTTATTGAGTCATTTTAGTCAGATACAGCCAGAACACAATAAAGGATTTCTCCATAATAAATGCTGTCAACGTTGTTCCCCTGCTTGCTTGTGCTCTTCCATGAACTGTACTGTGCCGAAGCAAACCTCTCCGACGCGTGCCAAGGAAGTGTACCTGACTTGAGCACGGTTCAGAGCGGTCAAACGAACTGGACTTTAGGGGTGAAGCGTGCTTGATACGGATACGGATTGTGTGACCATTCACTAAGAGGCCAAAAAACATTTTTGTAGCTGTAAGCTGCAGTCCTTATGTCCCACCATTTATGTGAAAGACATGTGCAGGGTCAAATGACTTTGACTCTTCCTCAGCAGTGTGTGTTTGTGTTGTGATTAATTGGGGGCGTAGTCTTCAGTTTTGGTAGAACTCCATCTCTAACGGCCTGTGACTGCTGTGTGCATTCTTGGTGTGGTGCCAGCCTCAAAGAATGTTTCTCTCATACACATCTACAGCTGTTTTCCTCCCAGTGGCCTTTTTTAATCCACTTTTATCCTTGTCACCTTTTAATATAGAATTATAGTGGCCAGTTCTTGTGATTAGCACACACAGCTGCCTGGTCAGCCCATTTACGAGGCTTTTAATACCTTGCTCACAAAATCAGTTGAACCATATGAGGTTTTGTTGGCAGTGGAGTTGGCAAGTACACTAGTCATTGTGATGGAATTCTGCCTCGCATTTAGGTAGCAGGGTCCGAAATTAACACCCGCCAAGCGCCAAATGCGGGTAGATTTTCCGTTTGGCAAGTACTTTTCAGAAAAGTCTTGTTTTATCAAAAAGTCATAAAAACTATGCTATAAGTATTTAGCACGTTTGATGTAGCCTAGCTGCAGCTACTTTACCCTGCTCCTCTCTCTGCTGTAATGTCTGCGAGCATCACAGGGCACGCTGAGACACACCAACATACATTGCAGCGCAAACGTGCGCACGCACACACACACACCCTGGAGCGCCAGCCACCACGTTTACTTTTAGTGCTTCAGCAAACAGTTGATCCGGTCAAACGGTCAGTTCGACTTTTCTCCGTTCACTCTCTCCGTGTCTGCAGCTAACTGAGCAATAGCAACGTCATAAGTCTGTGAACATCTCCACACAGACTCTGTGAAGCAGCACTGCGTTGGGAAGTACTGCCTACAGATAACACATAAAAAATAAAGGCCAGCAAATATATTTCTTTACAATTTCTCAAATTTCCTGATCTGATGACATGATCGAATCTGTGACTTAAATTTGTTATTGATTAAACAGAACATAATGCCTTCTCAATTAAATGTACTGTAACAGATTTGTTATTTTGGCCGGTAAATTTTTTCATCTACCTGCCACCTTGGCCAGTGAGTCAAAAAGTTAATTTCGCACCCTGGATATAAGGGCAGCCTTTGCTCTGCAAGACTCGCACAAAAACATTGTGAATTTATCATGTCAAATTAGATTTATAGTAGGGGGCAATCCTTTTTTGGTAAGGTAAATACAAGTGAGGTTGAAACAAATATGCACAAGAAAAATCTTTGTAGTGATTAGTGAACCATTGGCACATTCCCTCAGCTCTCCTCTTTATATTATGCATCATAAGTACCTCTCTATGTATTTTAAACCCTCTTTGATATGCCACATATTACCAGCCTGCCTTTCATGATGTTTTCTTTTACGTCCTTAACCCATCACCCACCTCTACACCTCTCTGAGTTTCATATGGTTTTGATGTGCTGCTGCTCCGAGTCAATGAGACACTTTGTAGAGGCATGTGAATGGCGCCATTGTTAAATCGCAGGCCTTGGAATCTGGCCTGCTGGTAATAGCTTTTTAAAATGAAATCTTGAGATTGGAAAGCTAATATATCGTCTGTGTTGAGCCAAGGGTATTGAGGGGGACCTGCGTGGGAGGAGGGGTTTTAACTAACATCAACTCAATCCCTTTTTTTCTCCTGCTGCAAGATGGATGCTTTTCTATTATTCAGATTAAAATGAATTCTGTCACAGTTGCATAGAAGCTCTAAATTTGTTTTGAATTCTGGTCAATGAAAGGATTTACACCAGGCTATTTAAAAGTAATTCTTATTAAATGTCTGCTCCCTTGAATAGCCAGAACAAAATATTGACATTACACGACAAGGTTGTCAGTTTATTATATTACCTGACCTCTAGTGCTAGATTATTAGATTTCATGTTTACTTGACAATTGGAGCACATATTTTATAAAACAAGAATCCTTCTACTGTCCAACCATTATCAGACAGCCTTGGTTAATGGTCGGTTAGGGTCCTCTGTGGTCAGATTTATCTGCATCGCTGTATGTGGCAGTTTGAAAATTGTTTCATCAGGTTGTTATTCTGGAGTCATTTTCTCTGACCCTGTTGTTTACAATGCTCTCACGACTGTCTTCAGCCGCATGTAACAGAACATCCCATCTGTGTCTTAATGGTGGTCTGAATTAGCTGATTGGCTGATAATGGGTAACAGCCATGGGGCTTTCACACAAACACTCCTGATATTTGCAGGAGGAGCTGCATGTGTGAATGCAGACAGTCATATTTTTCTCTCTGACTTCCTCCATAGTTTCTGGAGGTTATAGGGTATAAAAGGATATAATCTAGAGAACTCACCGTGCATAGACTGTAGACTGCACGAGACTGCTATGATCTCCATGCAGGTCATTCATTCAATGGCTGCATTATGTGTTCTGTAAACTACTATGCTCCTCTCCGCTGTTTGACATTGTGATTCCTTTGAACTACACGTAGCATTCATATACAGTTGTGCTCATAAGTTTACATACCCTGGCAGAATTTGTGATTTTTTTTTTTTTGGGTCATTTTTCAGAGAATATGAATGATAATACAAAAACTTTTCTTTCACTCATGGTTAGTGGTTGGGTGAAGCCATTTATTATCAAACAATTGTGTTTGCTCTTTTTAAATCATAATGACAACAGAAACTACCCAAATGACACTCGTCAAAAGTTTACATACCCTAGTTCTTATACCATGTATTGCCCCCTTTGACATCAATTACAGCTTGAAGTCTTTTGTGGTAGTTGTGGATGAGACCCTTAATTTTCTCAGATGGTAAAGCTGCCCATTCTTCTTGGCAAAAAGCCTCCAGTTCCTGTAAATTCTTGGGCTGTCTTGCATGAACTGCACGTTTGAGATCTCCCCATGATATTGAGATGGCCACTCCAGAACCTTCACTTTTTTCTGCTGTAGCCAATGACATGTCGTCTTGGCCTTGTATTTTGGATCATTGTCATGTTGGAATGTCCAAGTACGCCCCATGCTCAGCTTCCGGGCTGATGAGTGCAAATTTTCCTCCAGTATTTTCTGATAACATGCTGCATTCATCTTGCCATCAATTTTGACCAAGTTCCCTGTGCCTTTGTAGCTCACACATCCCCTAAACATCAGCGATCCACCTCCATGTTTCACAGTAGGAATGGTGTACTTTTCATTACAGGCCTTGTTGACTCCTCTCCAAATGTAGCGTTTATGGTTGTGGCCAAAAAGTTCCATTTTGGTCTCGTCACTCCAAATAACTTTGTTCCAGAAGTTTTGAGGCTTGTCTCTGTGCTGTTTGGTGTATTGTAAGCGGGCTGCTTTGTGGCATTGGCGTAGTAATGGCTTTCTTCTGGTGACTCGACCATGCAGCCCATTTTTCTTCAAGTGCCTCCTTATTGTGCATCTTGAAACAGCCACACCACTTTTTTTCAGAGAGTCCTGTATGTCAGCTGAAGTTATTTGTGGGTTTTTCTTTGCATCCCAAACAATTTTCCTGGCAGTTGTGGCTGAAATTTTTGTTGGTCTACCTGACCGTGGCTTGGTTTCAACAGAATCCCTAATTTTCCACTTTCTAATTAGAGTTTGAACACTGCTAATTGGAATCCAGCAACATCAGTGCAGCACTGGATGAAACATGCAGGGGTCTGTCAGGAGCCCAGAAACTCACTGACTTTTTATTCACACACACTGATTACAAGCAAACAGATCACAGGTGAGGCAGGTTACCTTCAGTAGCCATTTAGACCCATGTGTGTCAACTTGTGTGTATGTTATCAGCCAAAACCTCCAGGGTATGTAAACTTTTGATCAGGGTAATTTGGGTAGTTTTTGTTGTTGTTATGATTTAAAAAGAGCAAACACAATTGTTTGATAATAAATGGCTTCACCCAACCACTAACCATGAGTGAAAGAAATATTTTTGTATTATCATTCATATTCTCTGAAAAATGACCCAAAAAATCACAAATTCTGCCAGGGTATGTAAACTTATGAGCACAACAGTAAAGGCAGACATTCCTATTATAGTGGCGTATAGCAGACTTTGTAGCTTGTCCACTATATCCGCATCGTTATTTTGTACTCGCTGTGAGGTGCACATGTGAACAGCCAGGTCAGGAGAATCTCTAGAGTCCTCCTGAAATGATTTAGATGTTTTCAGGAGTGCATATGTGAAAATGGCTACACGTGTGATATTCTCTATGAGTGAATGTTTTTTGAGTAAATAGCCTCCACGTAGTCCTTTTGCATGGTCATAAAGGTGCTGAATTGTTGTATAATCATGCTAAGCCTTTCTTTTACCCTGCAGAAAAACAAATTAGTCAACCAACTGGCAATTGAATTATTTACCGTCTACATCCTATGTAGTCTGCTGCACAATTGCTCGATCAGTCCGACTCTTTCCACTCAGTCCAACTCTTCATGTCCAGTACGGAGATTACTTTTTTCCGTTTGAGACTGACAGGAAAGATATCGATGGATGAAGAAAATTATCTTAATTCTTAATTATTCCTCACACAGGCTCCGTGCACTGTCCAGTGGGGGGAGTGTGACGTCCCCCCCTCCTTCCCCCGCCATGCCAAAGTACAAGCTGGCCGAGTACCGCTACGGCCGAGAGGAGATGTTAGCACTTTATATCAAAGACAACAAGGTAAGTCACACTCTCCAACCTCTCCCTCAGGACCTAAAACAACAAGGAGGGAACCTTTAATATTCAGTAATGTTGAAGAAGTCACAAGGACTAAAAGTTAATGAAGTATTTAAAAAAAAAAAAAAAAGTTTTGTTTCGCTAAGTGTCCATTTTCTTGTTTTAGGTCCCAGAGGACATGCAGGATAAGGAGTTTGCTGCTATTCTGCAAGATGAGCCCATGCAGCCACTGGCACTGGTGCCTCTCACTGAGGAGGAGCAGGTCAGCTGTAAACACACTCCCACGGACACACTGATACCTGCAACCATCGAATCTGTTTCAGCTTGTGTTGACTGATCACGGTTTAACCACAATATTAAGACAAGCTATTTTTTTTCCTCATATTCCTCCCTTGGGCTTTTTTCCATTGTCTTTGCAGAGAAACTTCTCCATGTCTGTGAACAGTGTGGCGGTGCTGAGGCTCATGGGAAAAGGGGTGGGCGGGGCTGCCCCAGCTGGAGTGGTCCGAGGACGAGGGGCCGCACGAGGTGGTCGAGGTAAAACCAACAGCAAAAAACACACATATTGGAAGAAAATAAATGGCTGCAAATAACTTAAAGCATTGATTCAGCCGAAGTCAACTCATTATAATTCCACTACCACTTGTGCTAAAGCTAACACAAGTCCAACAACAACATATTTGCTGCCCAAAACCCTTGGCTGAAACTACAATGGCTGTTTCCAGGGAAAGTAAGAGGTTTTATTTGAGCCAGCCACTGGAGTGTTTATTTCCCCTTTTTCCACCATCTTTATGCAGCACACTTCCTCTTGGCCTGTCTAAATAAGTCCTCCTTTGGTCTTGCCACACCTGCCTAAAAACCACTGGGCTTATGAACTCACCTTGTGCTCAAGTAGTAGAGCATAGATCGAGCCCAAAAACATCCAGCCCGAACCGACTTGTGCATGTTCTGTCCAGGAGCATCCCTGTGTCTCTGCCTGTGTTGGTACGCCTGCTCCTGAGCGTGTCTGTCCACCGTCTGGCTTTCTGACCCTCCGTCTGGGTCTGACTTGTCTTCCACTTTTGGATTGTTTGCTTATATGGACTGCTTCCCTGCTGCTTCATGTATCACATCCCCTGTAAGCTGCAACCGTTGGCCTGTGTTGAACTTTGTGTCTGAGCGTGTTTATGTTACTCCCGCTCCACGTTCTTCTGTCTCCGGATTCGGTCCGCTCAGTTCCAGCCCCTGAATTATTACAGAGACTGTAATGGTTTCTTTAGAAGAAGAAACCCCCTTTTTTTTAGGACCTTAAAGCCCAAGTTGAGGAGGGATCCTGGCTCCGACCCCACTTGGTCGGAAAATCTTATCTCTAACATGCAGCACTCTGCGCTTATGAATGCTCGATGTAAACACCAGCTGTCCGGTTCAGGACAGCCAAGGAAGTAACATTGAAGAACGATGCTGGTTTTATTTCTTATGTGTGTTCATCCAATTTTAAACTCCAATACCATTCTAGAAAAAATGACGCAAGGACCTTGATACCTGTTTTGACACCATAACAAAAAAAACTAGAAACCCTAAGCACCCAATGCTAGGTGCTCTCTGTCTTTAGGTAAATGAGTATCTGAACAGCTGTAGTATTTTTAAGTCTTTGGTATATTTCAGAACTATCAATAATGACAAAACCCATTTCACATGGTTTCAAAAGTTCTCATTTATTGAAGTTCTCTCATTAAGAGGATTCTTTTCAAATTGAAGCACCTCTTCCTCTCTATGCACGTCATCAGGTCGTGGTCGTGGTGAAGGTGGTTTCTACCAAAGAAGTATTGAAGAGTCAGAAGTGGGTTTTGGCCGCAGTGTGAGAGAGATTCACCGCAGCCAGAGCTGGGATGACCGGTAAGAAGAACAAGCACACACACTACCTAGGGGGAAAAAAATCCTGGCTCCCATTATTTCATGGCAGATATTTTCCCTGTTGATAGAAGCTTTCATCCAGTTTAATAACACCATTAATTAGTTAATGTATTTCACTTTTGCAGTCTGCTTGTATGCCTAGACTGAACTTAAGTATCTTTTTGTGATTCTTCATGGACACATTTGAAATGTACGGTACCTGTGGTGTTGTTAGTGCAGGTTTTGGTTGGACCTGTTCCCTAGGATAAAACTAGTTCTTGCTTTGGCTCCTTCTCTTCATGCCTTGGTTGAAACCATTTCTCTCCTCTCCTCAGGGGCGAGCGACGCTTTGAGAAGCCGCTGCGTCGGGAGGTGGGGCGTCCAGGCTTTGAAGAGACAGGAGTTCCTCCTGGTCCTCTAAGGAAGGAGTTTGCAAGGGCTGACAGTGATAACTGGCGCACCCTCCGGGAGGAGCAGGAGGAGGAAGAGGCAGAGCCGGGCAGCAGCTGGAGACTCACTGGACCTCGTAGGGAGGGTGAGATTATAAACATGTATTGATTTACTTGACAGCTGCCTCAAACTCTTCTTAAGTGTTGAAAATGAGTGCGTTTACGTGGACTTGAGTATCCCAGCTTTGAGCCTTATCCTGCTTTCGATCATATTTGGGATATGGCTTTGTCCTGCAAACAGAGCAACCTGGTTATTCATATTCCTGTATCTCACTTTCTAATTACTGCCTCTTGTTTGCGTACACGACTGTCTTGTTTGACGTGTGGGGAAACCACCGTCCTGTAGCCTGTTCAGCACAGAATGGGTCAACATTTTGATGCTTTGTCCCATCTAAACTTTCATTTTCACTTTCAAACTAATTATTTCATAATCAGAAAACAAAATTCTGTTTCTTATTCACTCCAGAAGTTTTACGCTCTCGATGGCCTGCCAGTGTTCTGCGAGTAACGCAGCTCTCGTTCTCAACCTAACAAACATTACTAGCCAGTCAGAAACAGAGTAGGGGGGGCTTTGGCAACACTCGAACTGTGGGGCATGTTATGCTAGATGCTCCGTCTAGCATGTATATTTTCCGCTCATATGATTGAGAAAGATGTCCGCTGTTAGGTCTTTAAATACAAATCACAAAACTATTCAAGTATTCAAATGACTGCATTCTGTGTGTGAACATGTCTGATGAACACTTCAAATGTTTTTAAAAAGATTGGATCACATTTATAAAGTTTTGCAGAAAAAGGCACAAATTGGTTGATAAAAACTGTTCAGAATGCAGGAAAATATTTGTTTGGTGCTCGTCACTCCTCTTTTGGGGGAGAACCCCCAATCCCTTTCTAATTTTTTCGTAGGTACCTAGTTTGTTTTGTCTTGTTTTACCTAACATTTGTGTAAGGTTTTGATTCTGCTGACCAGTACTTGTTATTCTATTCTAACTGTTTTTTTTTTTGTTTGTTTTTTTTAATCAGATGGTGGTCCTCGCTCAGCAGGCTGGCGGGATCATCTCGGTCCAGGTGAGGGTCGTCGGAGGAAGTTTGATTTCGACTTCCGGGACTCTGACGGTCAGGGTGGTGGACGCCGGCGTGCAGGCAGTGAGGGACTGGAGGATGACAGGGACGGCCTGCCGGAGTGGTGTACAGACGAGGAGGAAGGGGGATTGGGCACTTTTGACTCCTCCGGAGCTTTCATGACTATGAAGGTGTGTTTCTTTTTGTCATATTAACCTGTTAGTAACATCAGATTCACAACAGTGAACCCTGTTGAATGAGGTCAAAATCCTTGTATTAGTCGAGTCCTGTGGTTCTCAACCGGTCGAGACTGAAGGCCCCACCACCAACTCGTCATGAAAAATCACGACCCAAATCCCTGATATTTTTCTGATAAGAAATCTGAATTATTAATTAGGAATTTTGTAGTTTGGACCTCAGACGGAACAAAGCGTGATAGAACAGAGAAACGGAACAAAACGCTTCATAGACACCTTTTTTTTTCCAGGCACACAGTTGTGACCCACTTTTGGTCCCGACCCGCCAGTTGAAAACCACTGGTTTGTTAGATGTTACATTTGAGCTGTCTTCTTCTACTTTTACTGTCCGCATACACGGACAAGCATTTCCACTCTTTGTCTTTTTCTTTCTGAAGGATGGCAAGGAGACAATCCTGGAGGAGGACTTTGACTTTAAGGGGATAGAAGAGGAGGAAGAGGAGAGCTACGCTGACACTGGGAGGAATAGTGTTGAAGGAGACAGAGAGAAGGGTGAGAAAGATCTCTTCTTCTATGTATTTTGTAAATTGTTTCACATTATTTTATGTGGGTTTTTGTCAGATTATTTAAAAATGCATCAATCTTTTTTATGTTATTCAACTTTTTAAGGTCTTTTAGTGTGTTTTCTGATGGACTTGTTTTTAACCAACTTTTCAATAGATCGTAAAACTTTATTTAGGGGCCGTAAAAATTAGCTATTGTTTTTTGGCTTTACATCTTGAACGTGCAGAACTACAAATTGTTTGCTCTCAGTCCATGGAGCTCTTCACAGTCCCAGGAAGAAGTAATAAAAACTATTTTATCATCCAACTAAACATTTGATTCCCTTCCTTTCCTCCGCTTTCCCCTCAAAGAGAGTAAAGATGCCGGCTCTACTGTAGGTGATGGAGAGACAAAGCTTGCATCGCCCTCCTCCTCTCCTCCTGTCCACTGTGCCCCTCCGTTCCTGGAGCCGCGGCCCAGCAATGTTGGACAAGTGCTGGACCACCTTCAGCTGAACAGCCATGCTGTCAAGGTCAACAGCACACCCAGCGAAGGTATCCGTTTATATATTTAGATCATTTCTGTAGTTGACATAACATGACATATTATAAAGGTTACTTCAGCATGACGTTGGGAGAAATAAAAGGATGATAAACACAGTTGTGAATGTGATAATAATTGAAATGCTAATGTATCTGCTGAACGTACTAACTGTGAAAGCATCCTGGAAATCAGACTTCATACTTTATACATTTCTGACAAACTCATTGACTCGTTTAGTATGGCTTTAATAACACCATGCTCTGACTTAAAGCCGGCTGAACAGCTGCTGCTTTGTGAGAAAAAGGTTTGAATTCAGTTTCTGTCTGAAACAGTCGCTGTTTGTCACATGCTTACATATGCTTTACAGTTAAAGCCTTAGAGGAATGCCCTCATAAATCAGATAATCTGCAGCTACACGTTTCCACTGTAAACAGCCACATTGAAAAATGCAAAATGCTGAATTAACAGTGAAAGTAAATACTTCAGTAAATTACTTTTCAGAAAAGGAATGTTGAAATGGATTCCAAAAATGCATGAGCAGGAGCTTGTGACTTCATGACTTTCATAACAATTGACCTGCTTTAAACAGAAGATGAAAATGTATTTAAAGCCAGCTTTTAAATTACTGAAACAACAATATTATGTTTGGTGTTAAAGAGTTAACTTCAGTCTTTCTGTATTCACAAAACCGCTGATTTACAAAGTCTCATTTCGGCTCTGTACTTTTTTAAAGCTTTTGGCATCATGCTTTCAGTCGAGCTCTTAGTGTCCGCACAGTGAACATGTGGAAGGCAGCTCAACCACGTTGATATTTTGGTTTGATACACAATATGTTGATAGTCACTTAATATCTTGTTTACTGAACCTGCAGTGCCTGCACACAGAGCTGGTAGACTGCTCTTCCCTCATACATCCTGACATCACCATCCCATAAATAGAAATACTAAAAATAGGGACTATTGTTTAACTAATGATTCTTTTCTTCTTATTTTTCTGTCAGACGTGACTCCAGTAGGGGGCTCCAAGCCGCAGCTGAGCCCAAACCCTCCCACCTCGTCCAGCTTGCCTCCCCCACCCCCTTCCTCTGCAGCTCCTCTTCTCCCTTCATCTGGAGGAGACACAGAGGACGATGAGGGCATGAAGCACCTGCAGCAGGTAGGAAGAACAGGGGGCACGTTTCAAGCAGCTGTCTTAGAAATATTACATAATTGTAGCAAGTGGCACATTTAAGTTTTCCAATTATAAGGTTTTGAAAAGAAAACAATTTACATTACTGTGAAGGTAAAAATATGAAAGGGAAAAACAATGTCAGACAAAATTCAAGTAGGTCAAGAATATTTAGTCCAGAGTTAAATCATGAAGAATTTTACACTAAAAGAGACTTGGTTTCTGATGCTTTGACAGTACACCCTCTCAATGCTATCTGCTGCAATGCCTCTAAAACACTCAAAGGTGGTATGGTGTGTTTGCGTGGCTCTGAAATACTCTGCCTACAAACGGTAGGTTCTACCTATGCTAGTTATATGACCAGATTCCAGTAGGGCCACATTCTCTGCTTGTTTGTGTCCATGTAACCATGGCGACTGAAACCGTGCTATTATGTTGGAGTTGGAGATGGTAAATATTGAGCCGCAGTTTTATTATACTCTGATTTCTGCAAAGAATTAAAGAGCAGAGACATTGTTAGAGGAGATGGAAGGTGCAGCGTTGAATGCACAGAGGTTCATGAAACAAAGAACATTATATGAGAACATACATTTTCCTTCTCTGCATAATTAGACTTCACGCCCTGGTGTTTTACAAGGTGCAGGCCAGGAGAGGAAAATGTTGACCAATCACAGGGCACTCACTTGAATGTCAGGTGCAGGGTAGTGGTGGGCGATATGGAAAAAATATCATATCGTTTCTTCAATCACAAGTTTATCACAATTTTCTTTTCATTCTGATCTAATTTGCAAGTTATTGACAAGTTCAACCACTTATTTCCCTGTAAAACATTTTTAAATGCTCAGAAACTGTGCTGAGAAGTTAAGTCTATTTTTAAAAACATCTTTGTTGGGAGGTCTGGAGGTCTCCCACAAAACATTTTTAGCATCAGAAATGTCTTTCACTTCATTCTGATCAATTTGTATGCACAATTTAAGCTTTTTCTGCACCTATTCAAAATGATGATTTAATTTTGTGTCTTTGAAAATGCACCTGATGAACACTAAAGTAGATTTATGCAGTGATGCATTCCTTTGGATTCAAACATATTACAGAATGTGATTATTCTGTGACACACGGTCAAAATAAGTTTAGCTAGAAGAAGCGTTTTAATCATAGCCATGGTAGGACATTTGATTGACAGACAGTTATGCAAGGTGACTCCCTCTCACCTGCCTGCTACACACTGAACGAGAGGAGGAAGAGCGTCATCCGTTTCATAACGTCGTTTAGGCCTTAATCTCATTTTCCGTTATCACAACAGGTGAGCTTCGGGTGGAGAGGCTCATTAGTAACTTGTAAAAATCTGAGAGAGTGCAGCATCAGTTTAAACAAAGGGATTTTATCTCCCACCGCTGACCGTTTGTCTGACTCTCAGCAGACTGTTAACGTCTCTCTGGCTCGTTAAAGGTGCGAGCCTCAACTGTGCAAACCCTGCACAGGGTTTCATGCGCCCTGTTGGTTTGGAAGACTCTCAAACAGTTCTATATAACCGGGATGGAGTAATGTTTACAAGCAGGGAGGGGGAGACACGTCTGTCTGGGAGCATAAACTGCAGCATGACAGAATGAACACTGAAGCCCGGTTCAACATATTCTCAACATATTCTAATCCTTCACGATCTAAGATTGTTATAAATGCACACCTCTAGTACAGGTCAACCCAAACATACAGTGTATGCTACAGTGTGGATTTGATGCAGAAGTATACATATCAGGCCTCAGACCCCCTCCTCTTGTCCAGCAGGGACAGTATAGTGGCCTGCTGTGAGGTCCATGTGTGAACAAGCAACTCGGGAAGGATCTTAGCTGCAGTCTAATGTGTGAGAACAGCTATAACGACAACCTTCATTCACCTTTGTGTGTAGGAGGCAGAGAAGATGGTGGCTTCACTGCAGGACACTTCATTGGAGGAGGAATGCTTCACCCAGGCTCTCCAGCAGCAGCAGGAGAGCAGGAACACAGCAGCAGCTCTGCCGCTGTCACATGAGGCTGCCATGAAGTGGTTTTATAAGGACCCACAGGGAGAGATCCAGGGTAAACTTGCACACTCAAAAAGCACAAAAGCATAGCATATATTTATGAATTATGTCTGAACTAAACTTATTTCTTCATCCTACCTACCAACGAGCAGGTCCCTTCACCACAGTGGAGATGTGTGAGTGGTTCCAGGCAGGCTACTTCACCATGACACTGCTGGTGAAGCGGGGCTGTGACGAGGGCTTCCAACCCCTGGGAGACGTCATCAAGATGTGGGGCCGTGTGCCCTTCGCCCCAGGGCCCTCCCCGCCGCCCCTGCTGGTGAGACAGCAACCACCGACGCAGCGCCCGCAGCCCACCCGAGGGCCCGCCGGGACTGTGAGTCAGAGCTCTGCCAACGTAGAGGATGGGGAAGGGAGGATGCAGAGGAGAGGGAAGCTTGATAGACAGGTTACGGTAAAAAAGACCAATAATTCATTCTCATTCAGTTAAACAGGCACGCAATGTTCTAGTTTAATAAAAATGACCCCCACCTTATTTAAACTTGATGTTGTCATTTAAATAGTTTTTCAAATCCTAGTACCAAAACATGCAGCCACATTCAGTTAATCATTGCTTTTTTCTGAGCTTCATATTAGTGGGGCAGAAGTGTCTATATCTGGTGTTGTATTATTTTTAAAATATAACACCAGATGTTTTGTCATGTTTTGCTAATAACCCATGAAAGTGACACAATTTATCAGTTGTGTGTGTGCCATTAATTGCATGTAACATTTTACATCATCTGAAGAAATGCATGCAGATCCTACATGCTTGTGACTTAGGACCACAGACTTGTTTGTTTCAGTCTGCGGTTACAACAAATGTGCAATTGCCAGACAAGATAGCTGCATAAAAAACATAGCACAAGCAAGTGTCTCTTAGACCTAGCCCACAATGTATTATAAATGTTGTCTTAAGATTATTGCTGCATTGTATTCAGTGTCGACTGCTCTCGTTTTCTCAGGGGAACCTGGACCAGGAGCGCCTGAAAAAGCAACAGGAGCTGGCAGCAGCAGCTCTTTATCAGCAGCTCCAACAACAGCAGCTATTCCAGCTCATTAACAGGTCCGTACATCTCACACACACACTGTATGAAGAGTGAACAGCACAAGAGCAGCCCCTGCTGACCGGCTGCAGTATATAGGTCATAAAGCCTGCCTCCTCCATGTAAACAAATGCAACATGGGGCAGACATTCAAATCTTTCTCAAACATGGTGTCTTGTCATCGTGGTTAAATGTGTGTGTGTTTGATAAGAGAGGGACTTAAAAACTGCAGCAGGGGCTCCACTATGTAATTCTGGCTCCAAGTGACATCACCACAACAATTAATTCTGAGCCTATAGAGAGGGTATTTTGGCTTTAAGGATGTGCTGTCCATATTTATACAGTGTATGGGTTTACTGTACAATTCTGGACTAATGCTGATTTAGTTTCTTTTTTTTTATGCCCGATTCGATTTTGACATTTACGTTTTGATTCCCATGATGGATTTTGCTTCTTTTGCTCCAGGTGCAGTGAGCCGGGTATGATGCCTTCGATTAACAGATCGATGTCAGTGCCAGATACAGGGTCCATGTGGGACATGCATACCTCAGCTTCACAGCCGTCAGGTAATGAAGCTGGTTGTGCATGCAGTGACAACAGATGAATACTATATAACGCCTGAATACGGTAAATAAAAAATGATTTTATTTCCAAACAGGCGGTGAAGCCAGTCTTTGGGACATAACAATGAATCCCTCTACTCAGGGTCCAACTCTCGAACAGCTTCAGAAGGTCAGTTTCACATTTCTTAGTATTTTTGTGTGTTAATATTATATTTACACTTTCTGTGATATTGCTTTCACACAGTATCTCACCATTCTTGCTTGGGTCCATTTTGCTTATTTAATCCAAGTTTGTGCCTTCAATTTTTTTTTAAATGGTTTCCTGTTCAGCTCCAGCAGGAGAGGCGAGACGCTGAACTCAGGGCGAAGCGTGAGGAGGAGGAGCAGCGTAAGAGGAGGGAGGAGAAGAGGAGGCAACAAGAAGAGCAGAAGAGGAGGGAGGAAGACGAGCTCTTCAGACGCAAGCAGGTGAGATGAAGGATGAAGATTTGTTAAGATGCCAACCAGGTTGTGATTTTGACAGAAAAAATTTAGTAAAAAAGAATTTGGAAACAAACCCTCATCTGAAGAAATCGGCTCTCTATCAGCAGATTAATAAATACTGTGGTCATTATGTCAGCCAACAATTTTTCTGATAGGTCAACCTCTTGCTAATTATCGTGTCCCTCTTTCTGTCGCATTAAATGGTAAAGAGACTTGAGCTTGTGTTGACTTTAGTCACCATCTTCTTGCAGTGTCGACAGCAGCAGGAACTGATCATGAAGTTGCTGCAGGCCCCCCAGCAGCAGGGTCCTGGGGCAGGTGGCTCAGGCTGGAGCGGGGCTCCCTCCTCTGGGCTCGCCAAGGCAGGGAAGCCCCAGGCTCTGGCTCTGCTGGAAATGCAGCAGGAGACAGAGAGGCTACTAAAGCAGCAGCAGCAACAGCGAGCCCAGCAGCAGAGAGATCGCGTCAGTACCTAAACTTAAAATAACATATTTCTAAATCAGAAATCATAAAGTGCATAAAGAAAATGGTATATTTATTATCCTAATGATATTCTGCTCTTTGTTTACAGCACTGTGGCATGTCTATGGGGAGCTCCTCCATGGGGGGGCAATGGGTGGATGGTGTTGGCATGTGGGGCGGGCCTGGAGGCATGGAGGGTAAGGGTGGCAGTGGAGGCTCTTCAGGCAGCATGGGCATGTGGGACGAGGCTGTGAAGAATCAGTCCGGTCTGCGTGGCAACAGCAACAATAACATGGGCTTGAAGAACAGCCGCAGCAGCCCCTCACTCAGGTAAAGACAAGATGCAAAGACATATTAGGTGTATTCTTTTAAATGCTTTAACACAGATTGATATTTATTTTTGATTGTATTAATATGTCGCTCAGTTAATGCACATAGTAACTATGGATTAAACCCTCCTGTACGTCCTCTGCAGTGAGCAGTACATGATGCGTCGTAAGAGGACTGAGGATGAGGACAAGCTGCTGAAGCTGCTGCAGGGCATGAAGCCTCAGGACGGCTTCACCACCTGGTGTGAACAGATGCTGCACGCTCTCAACACCTCTGCCAACAACTCTTCCTCCTCTGTGGATGGTATGCTGTGCAGCTTTTATGTATTTAGTAGTGTCAAGGAAACCCACCACTTCGATAGTGAACTGCTTATTATAACATGCATTTTAATTAGTTTAATATTCAGAGACTGAAGAGTAAAGGATTTCAACATGTTCAGCACTGCTTTGATTCAAACTTTATGCTTTGTTTTGAAGTTGCCACAATTGTGGCCTACCTGAAGGAGGTGGAGTCTCCCTATGCAGTGCTGGACTTTATCCGGTCCTACCTGGGGGACACAGTGGAAGCCAAAGAGTTCGCCAAACAGTTTCTGGAGCGACGTGCCAAACAGAAAGCCAACCAACAGAGACAGCAGCAGCAGGTAGGCCAAAGCTTGAAAAGTCTTTAAAGTTAAGACCAGCAAAGTAAAAATACAAAACAACACCAGGCTGAAAACATCACTGTCAGTTCAGGATATAAAACTAGACAAGTTAAAGACTATGGTCTTAAAGGGGCTGAAACTCTGACTTAGGGTGCACTCATGCTACCTACAACATATAACAGACATAAAGCAGAAGGCTTGGGGCTTCTTAAACATTTGTTATACTTGTTAAAAAATATATTATAATCAGGCTTTAAAGCAGCAGTCACTGCATGGTTTTGGAGTGTTTATAATTCAATTTTAATGTCTCTTCTTTTGTTTTATGTATCCCAGCTATCAAAGGAAGTGGCTGGAATGAACATGAACTTCCCTCTGCAGGTAAATACCAACCCCCCTTCGTAGTGCACAAGAAAACAGTGATGGAATTGATGTGTTAAGAAAAACAACATCGATTGTGATTTAGTCTAGTTTGCATCCCTGGCTACTACCACAACAGCATTCCATGTCCCTGCATCACACACAGTTAACCCAACACAGTGTGTCCATGGGGTGTGAAGTGGCTCTAAGGAACCCTGAACATACATATATTTAATATACCAGTGGTTGCTGGATAGCAATTCTTGGCCCTAAGTGTTGAATATCTTATCAGTGGCTCTACATTTTGTACTTACTTTACAGAAAATAAAGTAAAAGAAACTGGGAGAACTCTGATAACATAACAGGAATACAAATAAGACACATATTTGCGACACATATATATTTTTTTGATAGAATTAAAAGTCATTGAGTCTGTGAGAAAAAGAAAATTCATGTCTTTGTCAACATAATAAAATTAATTCTTAGTGTGACCATCCAGAACATCTAGGTGTTTTTATGATGGTCTTCATTGTTCTTTTTCTCTTCTCTTTCTTGTTAGGACTCAATGCGAGGTATGACTCCCAGTGCCCTGCAGTCCATGTTTCAAGCCAACCACATGAGCAAGGCTGGTCTCTATGACAACCAGGGGGGAAAGATGAAGAAGAAACCGCCCATGATGCTGCACTCTGACCCCAGCATCTTAGGTATGTGACCTCGTCAGCATGTGATGTGACTTCTCTTTTCACTACAGTGATCTGTGATTAATGGTGTGAACCGTAACTACACAGTTTGAATTCAGAATAGAAACACTTAAAACTAAAACACTGAAAAAACGTCCACCTCAGAGAAACAGTCTGATTTGCACCTGAAGCACAGGTGAAAGAATGGTGTCTTCTTGATGACATGTAGTACAAAGTTTTCTTATTTATTGGTTAATGTGTGGATACTACAAGTGGCACAAAAAGGATCATGCTTACTGTTCAGATCACCCTCCCAGGGTTTGGGCCGCACGTGATCCACTGATCAATGGAAAGTATATTAACATGGTGTTGCTTTAGCCTATAAAAGATAGTACCGCTAAATCTCAAGTCTCAGTGGGGAAAAGGGCAGCGTGCTGTACCATGTAGACCCGCCATACAAACAGGAAGACATTACAGTATTTTACAATGTACCGGTATTTGTGGCTTTTACATAAAAACAGTTTGCAAAGTGTTACTATTTCAAGCACTGCTTTGTGTTTTCTGCGTTCACCCCGTCTGCTGTCATGCAACTGGTGGCTTCCTAGACAACATTCAGTAGCGCCATCTTAGTCATCTTACAGCCTGCCACAGTCTGTTGCTGTAAACGTAGCCACACTCCGTTACAGAGTTCTGTGTACGTTCCAAAAACTGCAGATAAAGATTCTAAATGTGCGCAGTGAAACTGTGTTTTGTTTGTGTACCTGCAGAACGTGTGAATCAGACAGACACACACGTGCACTAAATGAACGCAATGTGTGTGTTACGTGTTCATACAAGAACAAAATATTTTAAATAGACTTCTATAGAATAGGGTGAACTTGTAATTCACTAAAAGATTTCCAAAAAAAAAAACCGTTCCGATCTGTGATCAAAATTCAAGCCAAACCGTGGCAACTTCGTGATCTGTCACACCACTACATACTACAAGCTAACCAGCGTTCTAGCTTTCAGTTTTCTTTTTTCACACTCTCTCGCCTGAATAAGATTCTTCTGGATGAACTTGATAATGACTAAATTTAGTGTGCACACCACCGCTCATTTCAACTGGGTAATATTATTTTTATTTAATCTTTATTTAGCCGGGTTACTCCCATTGAGATCAGAGATCTCTTTTCTAAGGGAGATCAGGTCAAGAAGAGCGGCGACACACAGTTTCAACAACAAAAACACTCCCAACACATTAAATAATTAGATAAAACAATAATCAAATCATCAGCTTAGACATTTCCATACAGAAAGTTTGTATTCAAGACTTCCCACAAAGTTTGGCTAACTTAGTTTGGCAGTCTAAAATCCGACTGTCGATTGTTTCCTAGTAAATGTTACAGAGAACGTAGTAAAAGCTTTCTCTACAAACTCGGTTCTAAATTTGGGAACAACAAATAGCACAAAGTCTAAAGAGCGCAGGTTGTGGAATCCGTCCTCCAGGATTAAAAGAGAGGAAAGGTAGTCCAGGTTGTTCCCAGAACAGCTTTGTGCGAGCTGGAGTGTATTTAAAGCAGTATAAACAACTGTAGAATTCTAAGTACAATCCACTGTTTGTAATGAATATAGATTTTTTGAGAGTGTGTGGTTCCTTCTTGTTAGGTGGGTTCATTATTTACTTTCTTATCTTTCAGTTACACTCATCAGTAAATAAACAAACTGAAATGTAATGGTCATGGTGTTTGGTTAATTATCCTCTTGTATAAACAGGTGAGGTTTAGCCCATTTCAGAAAATCTTATACCCTTAGAATGAATTCCTGGAGTCCCTTGCACTTTGTCCCTTTGCCTACACAGTCTGAGTCAGCCCTTCTAACTCCCTCATGTCCCATCCTCCTCTGATCTGTACTCTGCTCTCTCCATCTCCTCTTGCCATCCTCCCTACAGGGTACTCATTCCACAACGCGGGCGACTGTCTGAGCCTGAATGAGATGGAGATGGTGGAGGATTACTGATGTGACCGACGCAGCAGCAATAGCTACCTGAGGCCTTCTGTCTTTTAATCAGACAAACCTGATGACGAATGTGCACTGCTGGGGGAACCGGGGGATGGGGGGTTTGGGGGGTAGAAAGGGAGCAAGCATAAGGGGAGGTGTAGAGTGGAGGCGACTGGAATTGCGTCTCCCACTCTCTCCTTCGCTGTGTGGAGAATAAAGGGCTCCCTGCTGTACCAGTTGATCACTTGAGCATGGGAGAGGGGGGTGAGTAGGGGTGAGGTTAAAAGGAAGATGGGTATCCTCTGGCACTCAAAAGATTAAGCACCTTATACTGAACTAATGCACTTTATTGAGATGGGATTTGAATAGTTTTTTTTTTTTTTGTGCGTGTGTGTTGGGAATGAGGGCACACACACACATTATCTGTGTGTGTGTGCGGTGGAACTGGAAGGGGGGCGGTGAAACAGGCGGTGGGGTGAATGGTCGGGATGTTAGGTTTTCAAAGTCAGGGGGACCTTTTAGTTGAAACCTTATCAGAGAGCAAATCCTTTCTCAAAAGACAAACACTGTTGATATTTCTCTTGTTTAGCATTTTTTTACATTTATATAAAAAGTAAAGCTATTGAAAAATGGATTATAAAAAACTTGAAGATTTGCACTTGCCTAAAAAAGAAATAACAAAAACAACAAAAAAATCAAACAAATGGGGTTAGTTATAGAAGTGAATATTTTTTTGAATGTGTCTGAATGACTGCGAGTGTGACGGTTTGTGTCAGTAATATACAAGTCTGCACAATGTTTTTTTTGTTTCTTCTTTTTTTTGTTGCTTACCAAGATGTATGAAACATAAGAGGCCATTTTATGTCTTTTTTTTTTGTTCAAATGGTAAATTTTGTATTCTCATGTTAAGAGTGTGTTTCCCTTTCTCCAAACAGGGACTTGATTTGTATGCTTGTGTGAGAGAGAGAGAGAGAGAGAGGCCAATTGCACAACACATCCTTTCTCTCACCAGCTCTTCATCCCCAGATAGACGAAATAGAAATGCATACATTTGTAAATGCTAGCTTTGCGCTCATGACATGATGACCACCACTAGTTTATTTCCCTTAGCTTCTCCGCATGGAGAGCTGTCTGTAGACCTGTGAGGACGCAGACAGGGCGAATCATGAGGGACATTACTGTGTGTGCATCAGAATGAGACGGTGTGTGTGTTTGTGTGTGTGTTTTCTCAGTGTGCATGTTCATTTACTGTTCATAGAAATGAGTTAAAGACTACAGGTACTCATTCTGAATACATGTGCTTTTTTTGTGTTTGTATGTGAATGAATGCACATTTGTGCCTAAGAACTCTGATAGGGTGTGTGGCCATTGAGACATTAACTCTTTTTTGAGAGCGAGTGTGATGTGTGTCAGTGCTCAGCACAGTGTATGTAAGTTTATATCATAAATATTTCTAGTTGAGTCTAGGGGTGATCCATCAGAAGGTTAGTCCAGTCTGTTTTCCTGGGGTGCGATCACGTTGCCTTTTGTCAGCTCTCGAACTTGTGAATGAAAGGTGTCGAGTTTCTGACTCTGAAAAAAAAAAAAGATACAGCATCTTAATGTGCAAGTGCACAGAAGGGTGCATGAAATGTTAGCATATTGTGTTACTGATTCGTTGTTGCAATTTGATAATGACGAGTTTTCTTTTTTTTTTATGAAAAATATATATGAATATATACATTATATACAAAGTTTAAAAAGTATTTGGACTAAGATAATGAGCACTTGGGGCTGCTATTTTTGTTGTGCGATTTAATTTTTTTTTTTTCCTTAATTTTTTTTGTTTTATTATCGCCATGTGAAGTGTGTGTAAGTTTTTCTTTCTTAAGAAAATATTGAATGTATTCCAAAAAAAATGACAAGAAACCCGTGCTGATACCAGATATTATTTTTTTTCCTCAGAAGATTTCAAAAAAGGAAACAAAATACAAAAAAGCTTCAAAGAGTTTAGCAAGGACTTTTTATAAACAGTGGAGAAGGAGAAAAAAAAAAAAAACTTGGGATGGATACAGTTGAACACACTGCCTCTACAATCCTGGTCGTACAATTAATGACTGAGAATTAAAAGAAAGGACTCTTTCTATTCCATACTGGAGTTTTGGTTGTTTACAAACCACATGGATATCTGTGGGTGCAGTTTTTTTTTTTTTTTTTTTTGTTAATTGTTTTATTTTATTTTTTTGTTCCCACATATGACGGGTGGGGTTTGCAAGTGCGCTTCTGCCATATGGACATTGAGTGGTGTTGGTTTGAGGAAGAATCGCAGGCATCACAACAACAATGGACAAGATCTTTTAAGTGGACTTTATGTGTGGTTGTTGAGCCTGAAACATGATGATCAAACATGGAGCGGTGGTATAAGAAATCAAGGATGGGCTCTGATTGGTGGAGAACGGAGTGCAGGGCTGCAAAACCCTGGAGGGGAACTCAAGAGGGAGCGATACGAGTACACCTGTTAGTGCACTTGTCTTTCACCTCAACCCCTCAGAAGCACTCACACCCTGCCCTCACCAACTCACCTATGCACTTTTGTTCATTCAAGCTGTGAGGTACCTTTTTGGGGATGGGAGCACAATTACAACAGGAGGATTGCTACGACTTCACTTGACGAAGTCACTGAAAAAAAAAAAAAAATCCCAAAACTGAAATAAAGAGACTCAAGAAGCTACGTCTTCTTCCAACTCCTGTACATAACCATATTTTTGTATTACCTTTCAGAGTAGAAAGAAAAATTTGAAAAATGGATGAAGGAAAAAATTCATGAGACATTGCTTATATGGAGTGAATGTTCTTCAAGAAAACCAATCTTATTTTTGTTTTTTATTTTTTTTGAATATAGTTTGAGATAGACTTGCTGTGAGTTTCCCTCAGTTTGCCAGTTACCCCTGAAATAATTGGGGACGGAAGGGAAAACCACACGGACATGGACTGAGGTGCTGGCTCAAAGACTGACTGATAGCTTCTTATCAAAATGGATGTTTTTACAGTTACTACAAAGAGCCTCACCATGAGTGTTCGATCAACGTGCACGCTAAAGAGGCTGGAATCGAGCTGTCGGCGAGGATGCTTTCACGTCGTCTACAAACCTGAGAGCTGTGGAGAGACTGCAGAAGAAACAATCCTTGGCATTGGTAAGATTTGTGCTGCATACTAAGGACTACATTTGATCCATTTTGAGTCTCGGCTCCCTACAGGACTGTTGGGAGATAATGGTCTTGCTCTGTCTGTCTTTTTCTCATACAGGATTGTGTCTGTGCTTTATTTGATGCCCTCTACGAGGAGGATCTTATCCACAGCCAACCCATGAACCAGTTAACCTGTCCTACAAACTTAACCCCTAGAAACTTTTCTGTTTCGATTTGGACTGGGCAATCCAGTGGCATTACCAGTTGGATGGTTACCAAGATAAAGTTACACCTTTATCGACCGTGGATCCCATCTGTGTTGGAAGTGTTGCATTTGGATTCCGGCACTCTCTAGTTTAAAAGGAAAAAAAAGAAAAGAAAAAAAAAAGTGAATAAAGAGGGCATCGATTGCCCGGATGTCATCACCGACTTGGCCTGAAACTTGTCAGGTGGTTGTCTGGAGGTTCATCTAACCAGCAGGACAGAAGACCTGCCCGGATGTCCGGAGACTTGAGTGCTGGGTTGGGTTGCAGCGTCCGTAATGGATGAACTGAAAACGTTGTACAAAAAAGACTTTAAAAAAACATGACAAAACACAAACACACAGCAACATGTCACATAGATTCAGGAGGCCAAGGGAGTTGCAGACACACTACATGCAAACCTACACACACTCGATTACATTGGCTGTTCTTTAGAACCACGTCTGCACACTTAACCAGGGCTACATCCAAATCTCACATAGACACACACACACAAGCATCAAGGCTCATCAGTATAAATGCTGAGCTGTGTAAATAATGTAAAAGTTTGTGTTTTGATTTTTCCTCTCATAGTGAGGTTTGCTTTTTTTTTTTCTCAGTTCAACATGCCTTAAAATGTATAGTTCAGGCTAACTGAAAAACGTTCTCTAAATGATGAATTTAAGTTTGAAATCACCTTGATGACTGTCCTCCTAAGTCAAAGAAAGAAAGGAGTCTTTCTGAAGACAGTTTTTTTTTTTTCCCGAAAGAATTTGCTTTACAAACCACCTCGAGGGTTGCTAGTTAGCTACGGTATAAAGCAGCGAGCGATCTTTGATGAATCTAATTTTGTAGGTGGTTGGCTTTTGTTGCCCTTTTGGTTTTCTTAAAATGACGAGTGGATTTGTTCAGATGTCCTGTTTAGATAATCGCTGAAGGTTCAGGCTTGATTAAGGGCTGAAGTCTGTACTTGTCTGGAGCTGAGCTGGCAGGTGAAATGAACACAATTGGCTTAAAGAACAGACTTGTTGCTGTGGTAACTATTGTTGGATATACTGCACATGGTGAAACTAAACCAGAGTTTGACTGCTCCTTCACAAATGGAGGGGCTTCTTGTTCACTTCTCACACTCCCTGGGTCTTACATGTTTAGGAAAACTACTAGATACTTTTTACTGTTTAAAGTTGTCATTTAACGCTTGCCTTAGAAGTGTGATTCGAAGAGCAAGTGTGCATCATTTGTGATATTTGTGGGTTTTGACACAAAACCTTGAGGTGGGTCACAGCCTGGCCCATTCAGCCTCTGCTTTGTCTGTAACACCTGTGATCATCTCTGATGGCACTGAATATTTAAGGAATCAGATCAGTTGTGATCCGTCTGAAAGGGAATTCCTTGCATCAAAATGTGTAGGGTCTTACTGCACGTATGTATATTTAATTGGATTTGAGAGATCAATGCTTTTAGTCGACTAGTAGTTCTTCTGTGAACTTGATAACTAAAACAGTATGACGTTTTTAATCCAAATGGCAACTGGTATTCAACGAGAAACATCAAGTTTAGACTTGCAATACATGTGCACACTGTTCAGCTGAGGTTTGATAGTTACCTGCCATAGCTAACTGTGTCAACTAAAGTAACTACAGTCTGCCTCAGTATATAACTGTTGAAGTGATACTGAGTTAATGCTATATGGTTACTTAGTTGTTGTGTTATCAGCTGCCAAAACAAAGAAGTTGTCTTGTAAATGGCTTTAAAAATACTTGATTTGACAAATTTTAACTGTTATTGTGTGGTGTTAGTTGTTGGTCAGTCGGTCTGTCTTTAAAACAGATGTTTTTGCAGTTTATTTTACCGCACTACACAAAATTTTATGACTAGATAAACTGCAATTTTGTGTTGTAAAAAAACAAAAAAAAAAAGAGGCTCAGGTGTTAGGTCGCTGGCTCTGATAAGTTCCTGTCAAAGCCTGTTGCTTCATGATATAAAGTTGATCATCTGGTTTAGTTTTGCTTTGTTCATCGTATCTCCAACAATGTTGCAAAAAGAGAAATATTAAAGTTTTATCTCAGCCGGCTCAGCTCCTTAGCTTAATGAAAATGAATGTTGTTTAAAAAGAAACACAGCATACATTTAATGAAACTGTTATGAAAAAGAAAAGAACAACTGAAAGACCTGTAAATAGTTTGGCTTTTGTTTGTTTGAAGAACAAAATAAATACTAAATAAATAGCATTTAGCCGTGACTGACTCAGCATTTCTTGACTTTTATTTCCTTTGAAGAGTGTGAGTTGGAAGGGATGGATCTCATCCTTAATCTCATTTTTCTACTGCTTGATTCACTTTTTTTATTATTTTATTTTATAAATAACTTTTTCAGAAAATATGGCATTTACAGTAAATCTATGTATACAAAGGAAATATAGAAAAAAAATACAATAATACACAGTACACAGGTAACGTTGTATAGCAAATACATTTGAATTAAGGAAAAAGAAAACTCAATTGAATGAACCATGTGAAGAGGCGTTGACGTCATCTGGGCAACTCTCGCGATAGTTTGAAACGCATGGCCGCCTACAGTGTTTACAACTTCTCGAAAGGAAGTAAAGAGAAACAAGTCTTGACGAAGACGGCCGTCGAATATATTCAAATGCTTTTCATTCATACTCTCCTTTTAAAAGTGCAAAATTAACACCGTCAAGGACAAAGGTGTTCTCTGCTGAGCTGCGAACAGGTGCAGACAGGCTAGGCAAGCTACAACACAGGTAAGCTAGCCTGAGCTAATGCTAACATGAGCTAAGGTTGGAGTGGTTGCTGCTTCTGTGAAAAGATATAGAAGCGTTTCTGTAAGGTTTCTTTCCGTCTAACGACAGCGGAGTATCCATTTGATAAAATGTAAGGACTTTTATTAAAAAATGATACTTTGTGAGCTTAAATCTAACAGAATAGCCATACCGTAAATGCTAGTTTGGAGTGCTTTGACTGTCATTCGACCCGCCACAGGTGTCTGTTTGCAGCTTCGTTTCTATTATTTGATCCTATGTCTAAACTTCATAACTTCTCTTATATTCGCTCATATTGGTAAGGTTTTTACAAATATGTATAATTATGTATATGCATAGTTTTCTTCATACATCATCTTCAGCTTCTTGCACTAATGTACTCTCATGCATTGTCTTTTCACGAAAAACGTTTTAGGTCACTGGGTGCTGTGATGTCCTCGACCCCAAGAAGACTCAAACACGCATCCTGCAGGAAGAAGCACTATCCTAGTAGCACTTATCTCACACACGTCTGACAGCCAACCACCTGAGAGAAATTACTTGGACGCCAAATACGGGATTTGACTGGATAGATTAATCAACGAGAGATATGTGTGACTCAGCTGGAGGTGGTGAGAGTGGAGGTGTGACTGGTGCAGGGCAGGACGCAGAGGCAGACACTGAGCCCCCACATTTAACAGAAAAGGACATCTTGGAGACATCAGATGAAGGAGGAGAAGAACTGCCTGCCAAGCGGCCCAAAATGAACATAGAAGAACAAGAGCTAGATCAGGTCGCAAACCCCCTGAAGATGGATGGAGAAACACCAGCTGAATCACAGCAGGAAGACACGGCCCCACCAGCAGCACAAGGTAGAGGACCTGCAGCTGCATGTTTGAAATAAATGTTTCATTCAGGTTAAAACAATGATTGTAGGGATTTTGATGGTTGATATAAATGAATAAACTAGTTTACCCTTTGATGCCAGGAATGGGAGAACCACAGTGTGAAGAGGAGGGTCAAAAAGAGGTCCTCATCAGTGGGAGAGGAGGAGGAGGAGGAGAAGAAAGTCATCCGAATGGTGATGGGGGCCATGATGCCTCCTTAGACGAAGCAGAGACACAAAGAGAAGAGGAGCAAAATGGCAACAGTCCCGCTGACAGCCCCAGTGAAAGACAGCAGTAAGTTAATAAAAACACCAAATATATTTTTACATTTCAAGTAGAAATTGCTTTAAAAAAAATCAGAGTACAGCTGACTGTTGTATGATGAAGCTATAAGAGTATTTGTTACTCTTCATCTGGGGCATCAACTTTACAAAGAAAAAGAAGACAAATGTTTCTCTGAATTAACAACTTTGCTTTAATGAAACATGTTCTTTGTCTCATGTGAGCTTTGACAATGTTGACCCCCACATCGTTCATTAGGCAGATGTCAGTGTGTGTGTGTGTGTGCACTGTCAGAAGTCAGATGAAACAACAAAGGAGGGGCTTGTGTTTAGGGGCTGTATCTCCACAGCTACAGACTACAGCAGGCTGTAACGTTTCTGATTATACATTTCTTCATGTTGTCACTCGTAACCACCGGCTGAAACCTGCATAATAAATACAGGCACGGTGGGATGAAACGGAGATGCATTGAATTTGAAACAAGGTAACAATACACAATGAAAAATCAATCCTTGAAACAACGCGTTTCTGTGTAAAAGCTGCAAAGAACTCTCAAAGAAATAAATATATTTTAAATGTTATATTTGAACAGCGATTAATCTCCAGATCACGTGCAGCCTGAATCAGGGGGGATGATCTGAATGGAGCATCCAACAGCATCTGGATCTGCTGTGGGAGATCACAGATGCAATCAATTTGTTTATGTTTGTTTTTTCTAAAATAGTAGTTAAGGCAGAGGGGGCGTGTTGCAGGACAAATGATTTTCTTAACCTCAAAATCTTCACTTGCGTCTGCCATGTCTGAACGCCCCTCACCTTCAGCTGCTGACACTGATCAAGAGAAGCCAATACTTCAAATTCCTTTACATCCCTCCCTAGAGACGAGGGGTAAAAATGACATTTGATTATTGCTTCTTAGAAACACAGGTTGTAACCTTTAGGATAACTATCCTGTTATCATTGTATCGTTAAGAGGGGAAAAGTATTTAAGGTGAGACAGAACTTCATGTTATTTTGTTAACTTTAAAGATACCAACATTTAAAAAAATAAGAAAAACAATAAGATGTTTGTTCTTCATTGATTGGTGATCAAAACTCAACGCAAGCTGTGCTGTGGTTTAACTGTTTAAAACATTGCTCAGTGTCCACATCATGCTTCATGCAGTCAATTTGAGTTTACACTTGTCACAATAGATCTAATGTGTGTAGAAATTCTGCCTGGCATCAGTACATGTCAACCAGGCAATAATCTAAGAAGACTAGACTATACAGAGCAATTAGTCAAGTTTAAATTAAGTATTGTTTCAGGCAGCCATACCTATGATATTGAGAAAATGGTGTAATTTGGGCCTTAAGAGAAGAACAAAACACAGTGACAGTTTAAAGAGACTTGACCTGGTTTCCAGTATCGACAGCTAAAGCAAAGCAGGGCATCACCAGGAAATATTTTCTCAACTTGCTTTAATCCCAATATTGATCATAGTAACACAAATGCAGCTATTAATATTTGTAATTTCCTGTGAGTGTTGGATGTTGCCTCAGCATTTTATAAAAGCACTTGCTTTTAAGTGGGGCGACAAACACATGACAGCATTAACTGATTAAATATGCAACGCTATCAATCATTACAACAGCAGATATACAGAGCTGAGATGCTACAGCATGGTAAGTGATGGAAAGAACCTGTAGAGGCGGGAAATGTAACTAACAATCATCTCCACTTTGTAGTGATAATGGCTCTAAATGTGCCAGAGAAATTATCTAATTAACCATTAATGTTCCCATTTGTGCAGGTTGATATATAACTCTGACACCTAGTGTTTAAAATGGGTACAGCAGGCTAAATTAAAACCATTGGAAGGCTGTGTACCCCCGCCCCCTCCTCTCTAGAGTCAATGTGCACACGGGTTGCTATGTCACAGACATGGAAGCTTCAGTGTTTATCCAGCTCTGCATGGGTCTGTAAACCTTTCTGTGTTCTAACCTCTCTCCATTTTTCAAAAGCATCTCCAATATTGATCCTAGTTTGAGCACGTTTCTGCTCGTGGAGCTTATTAGAAACATGCAGAGGCTTTTTAGGTCGAGTACAATCAATTCTATCTGAACCACGTGCCCGCTTCCATCGCTGCAACACCATGTGGGGGGGTGTCTTAAAACCGCCTACCTTCTCTGGTCCAAACAAAAGCGAAGCAAAACTTATAAAGAGGACATACTGGCTGCGGAGAAGTTGTCAGAGAACCCAGCACTTCAACATAGCATGTTTCCTAAATGTCTGATCATATAGTAAGGTCATTTGTATGATTTATTTCAGTAGATATCTTACACATTGGACCTTTTAACACCAGCAGCAACCCATAAACATCTATAATAAGAAGTTGTGTCTTTCATTGTGCTGTTTGATGTTACCTGTCTGTCCCATTACCTTCCTTTCCAATCTCGCTTACAGCCTAGGCCTAGATTTTACCCAGAACCCTCAGATGCTGACTGGTTCCTGGAGTGAGTTCTCCACCATTCCGGAGAATTACCTCAAAGGCTGCAAATGGTAATCTCTTCTAAAATTAACACGTTGCATTGCACACCACGGGGATTACGTGTGGGAAGCTTTGAAGGTGCTGAGAATACATCTTTCATGTCATGATTGCATTTATGAGTCAGAAGACCATCACATTTTGTACATTTTGTGAGGAGCAGAAATCAAGGACACATTTGGCTATCCTGGATCAATGAGGAAAGCAATCAGTGATTTCACTTTTTGTAAAGTGTCTTGAGATAACACTTGTTATGAGTTGACGCTATACAAAATAAAATGGAATTGAATTGAATTGAAATTTCTAAATGTGGAAATACTAGTTCATCAATAAAGCATCTAGTAAGAGTCTCATAGTCAAGATAAAAGAACATGTCAAGTCTTACATAAAGGTTTTTATGCTTGGGAATACTAAAAATAGCATGTTTAGTCTGAACTGCCCCTTTACTATTTACCCTGTAACGTAATTCTTACCACAAGCCTTACTACATCATATTTTTCTCTTACTCCCTCGTCTTCTAAACCAGGGCCCCTGATGGTTCCTGCATCCTAACCAACAGTGCAGACAATGTGCTCCGTGTGTACAACCTTCCTCCAGAGATTTACAGCTATAACTGGGACTTGCTTCCTGAGATGGTGAGTGCACCGACAGTTTACCGTCCTAATCCCTGAATGTCTGCGTCGAGGACGGAAAAGGGAGAGCTGATCATGGAAATGTTAGAAACCTGCAGAAGACCTTCAATTTGTGTTTATTAAAGCAAGGAAGATGAAATAACAAGGGCAACGACTTTTTAAACAGCCCGCTTCTGAGGGCGCTATTAGCCTAGCGGTTATGACGCGTGCACCATATACAGAGGCTACAGTCCTCAGCCATTGACATTTGAATCAGGGCCTTGGCCCTTTGCTGCATATCATCCCCCACTCTCTACTCCCAACATTTCCTGTCTCTCTTCAGCTGTTCTATCTCATAAAGGCAAAATAGCCCAAACAAGTCCTCGCACACAATTATGCCTTTAGAGATAGGCACCCAGGATTTAAAAACTCTTGACCTGACATACTTTATGAACACAAAGGTCATCAGAATCTACAAATATAGGAAGTTTAAAGTCCTGAACCGTTACATATTGCTGTTGGAGTTTCTTGGCCCTCGCCTACCACTGCTCGGTACAGCGCGAAAAGCCCCTCTGACTCACAGGTTTATAAACTTCTGTACTTGGTGTTTCCATGTCAACCCCTCAAATAATTTTATTGGTAGGTTAATCAGCGTAAGAGGGGGTCTTGAAGCAGTCTCACAATACATGACATCAGTTTAGCTGTGTGCCCACCACAGACTGTAAATGTTAAAGGTCCCATATTATGCTTTTTCTGGTTTTATATGCTCTTTAGTGTGTTTTCCAAGTGTCCTGTGCATGTTTAGGCACAACAATGTGCAAAAATTCCACGGAAACGTGGCTTCTCCTACGTCCTCCTGTTAGCTGTAGCATTAACTGCATGTAACGCTCGGTTCTAGCCCTAACAGTGTGGGCTCAACAGAGCGTAGCTGACAGACTCAGAGCGGAGAGGGAGCAAGGAGGAGCAGTACATGAAAACAGACACTTTTTTCTGACTTTATCTATTGTGAACGTACAAAAGTAGGAACATAGATTAAATATACAAACCCCAAAAAGGGCAGAATATGGGCTCTTTAAAGGACGACGCCTGAGTGATGTCAGCCACCTGTTCCTGCAGGGTGCTCTGGAGGCTCATCAGCAGCAGCCACCATGAAGGAAATCCTGTCTCAGCCTAACTTTCAGTCAACCTAACGACAGGCTGAGAGCTGGAGCTGAGGCGGGTTTTAAACCTCCTGACAAACCGTTACATTGCGCCCACCTGTCAATCAGTGTGTGCCAGTGATGACAATAATTAATCAGACCGATTTCATTTTTTGTACCAGGCTGTAAACATGTTAATTTATGCTGTAAAAACTGCTTTTGTGCCAGTCATGTGTATGTAACTTCTGGTGTTTCTGGAGCCAGCTTCTAGTGGACACTCCACGTACTGCAGGATGTTGCACTTCCACATTGTCTTCATTTTTTAAGACCGGAGGTTGCCGCTTGGTGCCCACCTACATGATGACATAAGGACAGCATTGACCCACTTTACAATTTTGCAGTGTAAACACAAAATGACTAAAGTGCAAAATGCAACAGTGCATCTTTTTAAAATCTGAATTGAAAACAAAGCAAAGAGGTACAAGTGTAAAAGCACCTTTGGAATTAGAAGGCCTTTCCTTTGTTACTTCACAAAATAAACATTACTAGAAAGTTATAAAAAATATCTCATCAACATATTTGATTTGTTAGAAATGTTTAGTAATTAAAATGTCATAAACCTGTTTTATCCTCCCATCTTTTTGGACTTGTGTACTAAGACATTCATGTTGTTGTTGTTGTTGATGACTTCTGCATGTTTATATTCTCCAATGAAATGAGAAAACATAAAGACAACATTCACACTCTCTCAGACAGCTGCTTGGAGAAATGTAAAAAGGATTACTTTAAGTAGAACAAAGAGGCTTCATGTCATTTAGGTTTTGGGAAATATCAAGCAGAGAGCCAATCTTGTAATTGTATTACAGGCTGTGGGATCACTGAACATGGATAATTGAAATATAATCCATCTTTCTTCATTGCAGGGATCTTAAACCGTTTGTGAAAAGGGTAGAAAATTAAGATTTGATTGCTCTGTTTCCCACTGGCTTTTGGCTTTTTGTATGATACTTTAGTAAAAATCCTTTAGATTGCCATCTAGCCTGTCTGATAGATTCCATCAGTCATTCAAATGCAGCATAACGTTCCATTTTCACATGCAGTCCTGAAAATTTCTCGAGAAATTCAGGCAGACGGCCCCTGAATTCCTCCTGATCTGGTTGTCCACACATATACCTCATAGTGAGAGACCCTCCCCGTCGGACAGTGGGGTCTGCCATGACGTAAAAAGAATGACACAGAAATGGCAGACAAGCAACAGAGTCTGCTTTACATTGCCCCCGCCACCCCCTTGAAGGTCAAGTTAATTTTATTTTCTACGTAGCGCCAGATCACAAAAGAAGTAATTTAAGGATAGCTGTCCTATAGATCAGGTATCGTGCACGGCGGAGTTCCTCAAACTCCCACCAGCGGACCGTGAGCGCACGTTGGGTAAATATGGCGCGTGAAAAAGCAGTACAGAAAGTACAAGTACAGAAAAAGAGCCAAAGTGCTGCACGCCCCGCCCCTGACAAAAGCTGCACACTTTTTGTATCATTGTCATAAAAAGAAATGTTCCAATGTGTAGTTCAATGTACAGTTCAAATAATTGTTCAGTTGTTATATTGACCGCTGTCATTGAAATAAACACATGATCACCATAAGTGTTTGTGGCAGGTAAAACTCCTGATTAAGTCCAAGTAAAAATATTGGCTGTTGTGTTCCCACATGCAGCTCACCCCGAAAAATTCAGGAGTGTTTTGGACATTTTGAACAAGTGTGCCAGCGATAACTGTGCTCCTGTTCTAACAGTTCTGTCTCCTTTGCCTTCTTTTATTCTTTCGCAGAGTCCAGTGCTTCGAATGGCCGAGGGAGACACCATCTACGACTACTGCTGGTACCCTAAGATGAACTCTCTGGACCCAGACACATGCTTGTGAGTTCAGCTTGATCTTTTCACTAGACCGTGCCCTGAGCCCCGGCTCTTAACAGCTGGATAGATGAGACATTTATAGTTCACTTTGAAGGTCGATCTGCCAGATGGTGAGTGATGCATTCAGAGAAAAGTTACTATGTTGATTATCGGGGGCCGGTGTTGGTCAGTGAATGGTGTTTTTAATCTAGATGGTCAGAGTGAGACACTGTGTGATTGTGTGTGAGGAGGATTTTCTGCATGCTTGAGCTTGTCTCTGGAGTATTGAAAATATCGCTGAATGCTTGTGACCCAGTCTCTGATCCCTCTGGTATTTGAACTTGTTGTGGGAGCCGTCTGCCAGCTCGGGGAGAGAGGCTGTAAAAGCTTTGTGATGTCTCTCATTATGAGTGAAGAGTTGGCCTTCGTCTTCTCTGCTTTTGCCTCCGTTGCGATCCACTCAGCTGTTTGAGGCCCACTGTGCTTTCCAGCATGATTCAGCCCACTAACAGCTCTCTCGAGTCCAGACAGCACCTAAAGGGCCTTATGATTCTCTGACTCTGGGCTTTTGCTTTTTCTCGTTCTTTTTTTCTTTTGGCCATTCATTTGCAGGCTTTTAAAATGTGGTAATAATGACTTCACTGTGAGTTTGTGCATGCGCTGTGAAGGAGAGCCAACATCAGTTTCACCCAGCCGTCACCTTGGAGAATACTTACTGTCTGTAGTGAGAGAGGTAGGCCTGTGCTAATGAGCTATGGTCAAGTTGCCACCTCCCCCCCCCCCCGGTGCTCCCGTCATCATCCTGCTGAAGCCTCAACCCGCCGACAGATTCTTCTGATCAAGGCCCAGCGTTGGCACTGCTCCACCCCAACATCAGACAGCCTTCTCTCTGTAAGAAGAGGGGTGGGTCGAAGGTCAAGAGATGCATGCCCAAAGATGAGAGTAGTGTAAACAGCACAATGATCAACACACGACTCATGTGGACAGCAATCCACTTGAGAGATCTGCGTCTATCTGCCAAAGCCCTGTAAAGACCTGTCTGTTGTGAGGATGAGGACGCCAGCAGGAGCTGACAGCAGATCTTCTTCAGATTGCTGCCACATATCAGAGAGGAGCACCTGCAGGGCACAGCTAGGGGGACATATATGCTCAGAATGAATTATTAAGGGGCGAGGCAGCTAGATAAAAAGGTTTGCGATTATTAAACACATTTATGGCAAAACCTGTTTGTGCCATTTTTCTGCAGCCCCTCTTCTCCCACCCTCTCTCCACAGCTACCATTTTGTCTTTCATCCTCCCCCCTTTTGCTCCTTGAACTCTCTGTCTGCCAAAAGCCACGCATTGTTGATGCCCCCTCCTGTTGAGAGGGAATAAGGGCCCCTGTTATGGCTTGGTTAAGTTGCACAGAGTTCTAGGCATTGCTCCAAGCTAGCAGCAGTCTAGCATTATAATTGGGCATTTCCCTGCTCTGGAATAAAGCTGCGGCTCAGAGAGGCCATAACAGAACACGGCAGCAGTGGTTAGGGCTAATTTCCTCTGTCTAATTGAGCCACAGTGATGTTTAAGCATTTGTTCAGTTCCATTAATTAGAGTTAAAAAGGCATGGCTCAGTCTTTTGCCCCGATTTGAATCAATAAGAATGGGCAGTGGTCACAATGCTGTGTGTTTGTTGGGATGTGTTGATACATTCAGGTGGATGGAGAGCATAAAAGGTTAGAAACAAGACTACATGCAAAGGACTCCAGCATTTTTTGGGGGGTCATGCATAATGTATATGTTTGAATTGCTTTGCATCCTCTGAGATGCTGGTAGAGCGTTTTATTCCACCAGTTAGTTTGCTTTACTTTAGAGGGACACACACCATGTCTAGACTGACACATCGTGTTGGTGCCACGCTGCGCTTCACTGAAGTGTCTCTCTGTCTACATAAATTCCCTCTTGTCATAATATTTCAAACATGGATTATAGCTTTAAGCAGAAACATTAGTGGCACTACTTCATGTGCAGTTTTCCGTTGGTATCTGTGAGGAGTTCTCCTGATCTATTAACATGATGCATAAGATAGATGCTCAAGTTCTTCATTATTTTACATAGATCCTTAAAGCCAAGGCCACCTCCATATCTAACCGACTCTACTTTGCCTAAAGCTACTGCTAGCAAAATGAGTTAATATGATAGTTTCAGTCTGGACAATAGACTGTATAAAACACGGATGTAGTCTCAGTGATGTCACCCATTCGTTTCTGAAGATAAGTTTTGAAGTCAAACTATGGGGTTTGTTCAATCTAATAACAGGCAAAGATGTAGAGGTGAGGTGGGCCTTTAACCCTCCTGGCCTTACTCAGCATCCACCTGCCAGTCAACTGAGCCACGCCCCAAAATATGCACACTTAAGAAATACTCACACGGCAAATAAAAAAAAAAAAGGGATGTGCTTTTAATATTCTTTATAATGTGCACCAATGGAGACATGAGCTATTGATACCAAAATATATATTTTTTCATACCAGGCTGTAAACATGATGATTTCTGGTGTAAAACTATCATACATTAAATTTTGCTCAATTTTTAAACACTGGAGGTTGCGTCTTGGTCAAGACACGGCATAGAACTGATCAAATATGCCCCCGTATTATGTACAGCTGTTAATGCCATCAAAACAGATGAGTTGTCCTCCCCCCCCTAAAATTGTAAATTCATACCAAAACATTTTTTTGTGACTTTTATGGCTTTTGAAGCCAGCCTCAAGTCAATCAATCAATCAATTTTTATTTGTATAGTGTCAACTCAAGTGTTATCTCAAGACACTTTACAAAAAGCAGGTAAAAGACCTTACTCTTTGTCAAGTGGACACTTGTAGTACTGGGGGGGTCTCCTGAATTAGTCTTTTAATCGGATGCCATCCCCTCAGGGATGATAAAGACTGACTCCATGAAGTATTCTCAACATTATTTTATCATCAGCATCCTTCACTCTCTATCCCCTGATGGCCTTTATCCACAGTGTCTTCATTACTAATTCTTCCCACTCTGTTTTTTGTCTTCATGTCACTCTCTCTCTCTTTCCAAAGCTTGGCCAGCAGTAGCCGTGACAACCCCGTCCATGTGTGGGATGCTTTTTATGGGGAGGTGCGAGCCAGTTTCCGTCCCTACAATCACCTGGATGAGCTGACGGCGGCCCATTCCCTCTGCTTCTCGCCCGACGGATCACAACTGTACTGCGGCTTCGACAAAACAGTCCGGGTCTTCTACACGGACCGCCCCGGGAGAGACTGTGAGGAGCGGCCCACCATAGGTAGGTCTTCCACTTCTGTCACACACTTTCAGCTATCAATAATGATGTCTGAGGATACAGCTTTAAAGAAATTACCAATGCGGTTTTATGCATCTTAAGTTGACAGAAATGTATAAAATCGTCTGGCATTCCTGTTCTGGGCCGGTGTTTTTGTCCAATGCTTCTTGGAATTGATGGGAATTCAGCAGCACACAGATTGAGCTTCTATTATTCTTTACTCATAATTAAAATTGAGTTACATAAAATACATATTCCCATTCGAGGGCATGGACTACTTTGAAAAACTCTCACTGTTTTTCAAGGACACTTCAAACTCTGAAAGTTGAGAACTATTTAAAAAGAAGAATCCAAAAGTTACGTAAAATCCAACCCACAAAACAAACAATAAGCAAAGTGGGACGCTGTGAAAAGATGATGTGAAGTTTGTTGTTTTCTTATATTGAGAAGGTTTCAGCTGACAGCCGGCTGTCACATCACACAGGCTGAAGTCTCTTTGAACAAACCTACCTACAAGGAGAGGTTTTTTTATTCTGTAGCAGTGTGAGAGAAAAAAAATGAAGGGAACTAAATGTTTACTGTGATGAAAACCCTTTTTCTCTGTGACACTATTCAAACAAGTTTTAGGGAGTTGCCAGGTTTGTGTCGCGTTCCTGGAATGAGCAGAATCTGTGTTTGTCTGGAAGTCAACAGGAACAGTGAACCTTTCAAATCCATGTTCCTGTTTTTCTATATTTCATTAGATTTATTATTAGTGGCAAGGTTTGTAGAGTAAGTGCTTCTTATCAGGCATTCAAAAACATACAAGGTAACAAATCCAAACAATCAAGCCAATTAATGAGGATTTTATTCATCCATCCATCTTCATTGGGCGAGAGGCGGGGTAAAACCTGGACTGGTCGCCAGCCAATCACAGGGCTGACATATAGAAACAGACAACCAGTCACATTCAAACCTACAGGCAATGTAGAGTCACCAGTTAACCTGAAGAGGGGGAGGAAGGGGGAGAACCTGGAGAGAACCCTCCTAACATGCAAACTCCACACAGTTAAGCTCCTGTCCAACGGGGATTGGACCATGGAAACTTCACGCTGTGAGGCAACAACACTAACCACTGCACCACCAGATTTTATATAGGGAATATTAAAACTACAAGTCTGCTGTGCTCGCAACTCAACATCTCGCTCTGATGTTTCTAACTTTCTTGTCCGTTTGATTTTAATAACTGAATTTTGGGTTCAATCGATGGTTCAGCTCAAAAGCACATGCAGTGATGTATGGGAGGACTGTGCCTTTTTCATAGAATAAAAAGGTGGATCATTTTGAAAGAAGGAAGCTTTTGAAGTCTCAGATTGTCCAAATTGACTTCATGCATGCGTTGTTGAGAAATGTTTTCTCCTTGGAGATGTAATCAAGCATCTCGGAGCGGCCAGAAAGTCAAACTTTGACTCGACGTCTTTTTCAACCTGTTAAAAGAGCTGAGAGCCCTGCCAAATGATGCTCTCCTCTCCTCACTGCAGTGAAGAAACAGGGCCAAAGTGGCATCATCTCCTGCTTTGGCTTCAGCCCCTGCCAGTCTGTTTACGCCTGTGGCTCTTACTCCCGCTGTGCTGGCCTCTACTCCTGCCAAGACGGCACCCTGCTGGCTCTGCTGCCGACCCGCCATCACGGAGGCCTCACCCATCTGCTTTTCTCCCCTGACGGCAACTACCTGTACACCGGCGGGCGCAAGGTGAGCACACACACTTTCATGCAGACACCTCAGGGTAGCAATGCTACTCGGGTTTATGATAACACATGCCGTTACCCCCCCCCCCCCCCCCATAATATTTGTGGTTTACACAAATATTATAGAAACTATTGAATATGAGTTTTTATTCAGGGTTTCTGTCTTGATGGTGTGAGTCAACTTGTACTTAAAGGGATACTTCACCTGTTGAAACATGAATCTGTATTAACATTGGGTCATATATGTAGAAATGTGAAATAAATTTTCAAGTTGGTGCCTTCTTGATGGAGAAAAGGCAGAAAGTGTCTTTTTGGATCATGTGGAAGAAAGACAACAACTCCCAGAATGCACAGCACGGCTATTTATAGACATTTACTACAACACTTTAGGCCGATTCCTCAACTGACTGCCCCTGTGCAGGTTGAAAACATGAGGAACTAGCGATGTAGTTTCAACCCGCTAACAGCAACAGCTTCTGATGACGCAAAATGACAATATTTGCATCACTGGAAGCTCCTTTTCAGACTTAGAAATACAAAGATTTCCCATCTAAGGGGAAAATGAGGGCGGGATACACGATCATTCAAAAGCACTACCAGGTTTCTAATGATACAAAGATTAATGCAAATGGATGAAGTATGCATTTAATATGCTTAGGAGTTGAGACATTCCCCTAAAAGTGAAGACTTAAAGACTCACTGTATTCTACAAAGTTCCTGCAGAACATTTCCATCACAGGAGTTTCAATCTATCTATAAATGTAATATGAACAACAAGGAGACAAACCCTCAGTGTCTGTAGTCCTCTCTTAGTTTGACGTCACACAAACTGTCCACAAGGTTCTTTTGATACAGATGTAGAGACTCCCTAACTATCAGCCTCTGTGATTGAATGCCCTCCTTTCATTCCTGTTATGCGATGTCACTCTGTCTACATTAAATATAAACTAGTTACCCGTTTTTGAGTTCACAAAGTTTATTCTGCAGCATGCACGTCACTCTTAATGTGAATTTAGCTACAGGGTCAGGAGTGCAGATGTACCGTGCAGTGACTGTATCAACAAGAGGTCATTTTGATCATCTCAGATAATGTGAAGGTGCATGCGTGTATATTAGTATTGGAAATGATCAATAAACAATCTGAATCTGTGCATCTTCAGTTTTCATCAAGGGCTGTTGAGGTTCTGTCTGATATAGTATGCAAGTACCCTTTATAAACACTAGGTGTCAGTTACATGTTGGTCCTTTAAATCAAAGTTAACTAATAACTAGTATTTATACCAATGCAGAACTTAACACCTACCTTTATTAAATCAGTAGATGAGGCGCTGGTGGCACAGTGGTTGGTGCACGCGCCCCATATATGGAGGCTTTGATCCTCTAAGCGGGCGGCCCAGGTTCAAATCCCACCTGTGGCTCTTTTCCCTCATGTCATTCCCTACGCTCTCTCCCTGATTTCTGAATCTATCCACTGTGCTATCTCTCCATTAAAGGAACAAAAAGCCCAAAAATAAATCTTTAAAAAATCAGTAGAAGAAGAAGAACACTATAAGAAAGAGTACACTCTAGATGTACTCTATATCCAAAAGTTTCATGAGATAACTTACTGTATGTAGTGATTTTGGATCTATGAAGTTAAAACATTTAATAATTCATTGTATTTTAGTTGCAAGCTAAAGTTTTTTTTTCTTTTTTTCTGAGTAGGATCCAGAGATCCTGTGCTGGGACTTAAGGGAGCCGGGAAAGGTTGTGTTCTCACTGAAGAGGAACGTGGCTACAAACCAGCGCATCTACTTGGACCTGGACTCGTGAGTTTGCTGTAGTGTGGATTGTAGTTATCGTCTTTTATAATGTTGTATAAACATCTATGAAGCACCTATGACATGTTGCTTTATGCGCTAAGTTGATGGTTGACGGATGTTTGTTTGGTTTTCTGTCTGTGTTTTAAGGTCTGGCAGATACCTCCTGAGTGGTGACACAGAGGGGGTTGTGTCAGTTTGGGACACCCACACAGCGCCTCCTGATGGTAACGAGGAGCTGCTGCAGCCTCAGCTCAGGTTCAAGGCCCATTGGGACTGCACCAACGGTATCAGGTATGATTGACATTGTCTTTATTCCTATTGTCAGATTTCAAATATAACAACAAGTGTTAACAACCATACAGTCACAAAAATAAGAATACTGATAGGAGAGAGGATAATGGACTTCAATTAGAAAGAAAACACACTGATTGGGAAAAGACGTTTAAAGGCAGGGTTGGTAATTTTTGAAAACTAGCATGATTTTGAGAGTAGCATTCCCTCAGTGCTCCGTCTGCACCCACCCCCTCCCCTCTGTGCTCCCTCTAAAGCCACGCCCTCTCACTTACATGCATGAGCGCCATTGGTCCAGAAGCGGACCTCAGCTCATGCTTTGAGTGTGGGCTGGAGCACGCCATGGGGTAGAGAGCGAGCAGGGAGACAGGGAGGCGTGTGATTGGTTCATCAGATTGGTACCTCGTGGCAGACATTGGTCAAAATTGTTACATGCTTACAACTGCTACAGATGACGGATTTTCTTTGTTCCTTTTTCAGAGAACATGAGTTATTCATTTCTGTCAGGACCTAAAGACAACTTCAACCAAAATCTTAAAACGTGGATCTGGAGAAAATTACCAACCCTGCCTTTAAGTCATGTTCAGTGTTAGCTTTTCTGCTTGGTTGTCCTGATTGGTTGCACTGCCAGGGTCCCATAATCTTTCAAAAAATGGAAATCTGTTGCAAATAAAAAATCCTTCAACATATTTTAGATAAGAGGAAAAAACAGTTTTGTAAGAGGCTTATAAAACGGTTGTTGAATGGTCCTGTTGCTTAGAAATGTATATTCAGTGTGTGCTGTGTGGTGCAGTTCAGTTTTTTAAGGCTTGTGAAATGCATAACTTGTTTATTATATGCCTGTTTTATAACAGGTGCAAACCAGCAGACATTTCAGGTACTTAAATCCTTCTCTTCTGCAGTGTTCATCCCTTTATGCCACTGCTGGCAACATCCAGCGGGCAGCGCCAGTTCCCCTGGCCCGGCGACAGCGAGGGTGACTCGGCCTCCGACGGCGAGGGAGAAGAAGCTGTGATGTCACCGCAGGAGATCAGACAAGACAACACCCTGTCTCTGTGGTGGGCGGGGCCGCTCGGCCCTTCGGCAGAGGGGGGGCAGGAGGTCCCGTTAGGTCAGCCAGCGGACACAGATTGAGTTACACCTGCCATGTGATATTTATTTTGGGAGTGTTTGGTATGGATCAAGCTCATTATGGGTCAGTCAGATTCTCTTTATCATCAGCAACATGAAGTCTTGAGGTGGAAAGCATTTTGGATGTTACCTATACATGACCACATTTACAGTCTGAATGTGCACGTCAACATCTACACACTCACAACTCTTACTTAAGGAGGATTGTGAAACATTACACATCAGGTCAATACAGACATTCAGGGCTATAGGGATGTGGACTTCACTGTTGTAATGCCAAATTGTTAAATAAGAATTTGAACTCCATGCCAGGAATGTGTTGAGCGCTCAAACCAAGGAGGTTTTCCTTTTAACCTTACTCAGGTTGTACAACAGGAAGGTTGCACAAGGAGTGGACTGTGGCCTCTTAATTCTCCATTTTTATATTGAATTAGTTTAAGATTTGTTTGTTTTTTTAAACACCAAGATGAAATAGAAAACATATTTTATTAAACTTTGGTTATTAATAAGGAATCATCTTCCTGAATCGGAGGAGATCGATTGATGCCCAGCGTCGTTCAAATCTTCACACCTTGCGATCTGAGTTGTACCTGTGGGAGTGTTTGTATATGTGTTGCTGTGATGCTGCCCAGGAGATTCTTATCCTGCTATAGTAACAGTAAGTGCCATTTTGTTCTTGAGCTTTTTGTGTTTGTAAGCTGATGGGATCTCTTTGTTTTTACCTTTCTGTTTTTTAAAACTTTAGGACGCACTAAGTGTTGTGTCGCCGAGTGCATGCTCACAAAATGTATATTTTTGTAAAGCCTCATTGAACATTCTGATTTTCTGAATGTATACTCTGTAAGCAGCTAGCTTGATTACTGTAACCTCATAACCTGTGAAAGTCTTCTAGGTACTGGGTGCACCGAGTGATGTCTTATGATATTATTTAAAAACTAAAAAGTGCTCTGATTACATTTGAACTATGCTTGAGTGGAAGCACATGTGTGTGTATGATGTTTCTAATGTACTGCTATTTAGTGTTGGTGGGGTGTGCTTTGTTGTACAGTTTCAAAAGGAGCAGAGCAGGCTCCATCCTCAGCCTTGTAACTTTAAGTACTGATGATCACATGACAGTTCTGAAGTGTCGATCAAGGTTCTTCTTTTTGGAACTCAAATTTGTTGCCAACAAAAAGCTACAATACTGAAGCTAGTCATATTACACACATTTACTTCACCAGGAAGCTTTAGGAACCACACAGGCCTTGGCGTTGACCTACACTAGTTTTTGATTGAAAAAAAAAAAACTGTCAACAAGTGGATTTCTGCTGGGTTTATTCAAGCTGGAGTGAATTAAAGCATATCTATTCACAACTTCACGGTCTTACTCACTTTTTGTCCGTTTTTGTTTAAGGCAGACCAGAGTTGGATGCCCCGTTAATAAATTCAAACTGAATGCAAGATTAAGTTACACTCGAGTCAAGAGGCAGCTCTCATGAAGCCAGAGGGAGTTCTGGCTGTCGCTTATGAGATGGAAACTATTCATAGCTTTCACCTTCTGCGCACACATTCTGTATGAAAGTGAACACACTCGTATTTGATTGTCTGAAACCACAGGGGCACGCCGAGCAGAGAGCCAAGTCGCAGTTGCTGCACTGTTGTGTTGAACACGTTGCCTAGCAACCGGGTCTGCCTTGGGAGAGGAGAGTGGTGAGAAGGACGACAAGTAGGAAAATTAGGGGGCATAGAATGAGAAACGGCGAACAAGTGTAATAGATTATCCATTGCTGCCGTGATTGCTTGTTTGTCTGATGGTCTGGACTCGTCTTAATCTCGAGCAGAGAGTGAAGTGTGTGAGTGAGAAGCTGTTTCAGACACCATGGGGGGGGACAGAAAGTGGGTTTGATGCTTTAAATCAAGTCAATCTGTGGACAGTTCTCCAGACTTTCTGATGACTGGTTCGTCTTATATAATAAACTGAGATATTTGACATACAGATTAAATCTTAACTTCTATTATGTATTAGTGTAATTGACTTTAAAGTTCTTACACTTTTATATATAAACACAATTGACTTAAATGAATGTGAAAGGAGGTTACTAGTTGAGTAAACAGAATAACTGACGCTCTGCAGTGTCCCTTGGCTTCTTTGAGTTTTATATTCAAAGTTTAGATTTCTATGGCCAGACTTCACTAATGCTAAAGAGTTAGCATTTAGCTAACATGTTACCCTGATGGAGCGTCCAACAGGAAAAACACACTATTTCTTTTTAAGACATTGGCCACAGCAAAACAAAAAGTCTAAATTTGAGGTCTGTCTTAATGAATGTTAAACCTAATGAAACCAGAAACTTTGCTTACAACATATCAACTATAAAAGGCTTGAGTGTGTTTTTTTTTTTTACAGATCATTGCACCGCACCCAAAGTCACAAAATGAATCACACAATGGTAAAAAAAAGACTGTTCTTATAAAGCTTTTTTCCAGTCCTCTGGCCACTCAGAGCACTTTCCCCTTCATATAAACTTAAATACTCTGCTTGGGAGCTATTTGGGGTTAATGGTTTTGCCCAGTGACACAATGACATGCAGACTGCAGGAGCTGGAATCGAACCGCCAACCTTCTGGTTAAGAGACGACCAACTCTCCCGCTGATCCACTGCCGACCGAATCACAGCTTCAGTAGTTAACTAAATCTTAAAAGCAGCGCCATAAGTCATTTCTAATTGTTGATTTGGTGACCCAAGAGGATAAATCTGTACATCTGATATCTTTGCTGATCCTTCCCTGTACAGCGTTCTCCCTAAAGACTTCTTCTGCTTCATCTTAGCTTTGTAAAAATGTGTTAAGGACAATTTAAACAAAGGCTGCTTCGGCCTTCAAAATTGTTTTGTCGAAATATGACCCAGTGATCAGTGACTAGACATTGAGTATACTAATAGGTCTTCTAGCTGTTGGTTTGTGTTTGTTTTTTAGCTCATATAGAGGCATTATGAATAAATTAAGACTGTATCATAACAAGTAAAAAAAAAAAAAAAAAACTCCTGTCTGTAGTTGTCCTTTTTTAGAGTTATTTTGTCCTCTCATTTAAATTCATGCCATTTATCAAGTTATTGCTGCCCACCTGTTTTATGATTATGCAATAGTTCTCAACTTTAAGTGCAATCCCATTTTCTCAATCACATGCACATACATTTCTCTCATGGTGTTTATTCCATCATTTTTATTCATTCCTTTTTTAAAGGCCACAATGTTTAATTTTCTCCATTTATTTATTTTTATGTAAAAATATTAAATAAGGAGAACAAGAACAGGATAATCCCCCCAGTGCCTACCTCCCCCCCCCAGCGTCCTGTAAAGTGGTATATGTTGGATGTATCTCATGACACACTTCATCAAAGTCACATTAGTCAACCTTACAACCTGAAAGTACAACCAATGGTATATAAGTGTGTGTGTATTATGAATGTCATCATGCTTCCTTCTGAGCTTAAAACCGCAGCTTGTTATATTGATTTCTATGTAAATGTGTTCTGCAGTGTCCTGCTGTTTAAAGATTTGTCAAAGGCTATTCCACTGAACCAATAACAAAATTCAAGCTGTTACATTGAGCATTTGTTATTTTTTAATGCTAATCTTTTATGTCTGTCCATATCTTATTTGTATGTGTATCTGCACTGCCTTCAGAAAGCCGGCTCGCCCCAAACCTCAGTGCTGTCACAGATGACAGCAGAGCCATTATCTTCATCCCAAGGTGGCCGCGGTGTAGTCTTTCCACTTGTGCAGTTAATGAGCCAATCCACATAAAGTGTTCTGTGTTTCTGTGTTCTGTGCCTCCATTTATGTCGCATCCTGAGTGAGTCTCCATGGCCTCGCATAAGTGCCTTCCATTAGACAGGCGCATGCACACAAACTTAACAGTCCCAGGGCTCATCACCGGCGAGTGTGCGGAATAGTAAGTAATGGGATCTTGATATTAAGAAAGACATTTGAAAACAATTATTCAAATGACTGTCTGCCTGTTGAATCGCCTAATCCCACAGAGAAGCGCTCAAGCAAACACTCAGCACCGTGACCTCGTCTGAATTAGCATGGAGGGGAAAAAGGGAACACGCAGCTCTGAAGTTTGAGATGCTAAAATGTCTAGACCGCTCTCTGGTTTGTCACTCTCATGCTGCCTTTGAAAGGAAAAGGCTTTTTTAGAACATGAAGCAGAGGGAACAGATTCGCTGTGGCTTTTAGAGGTTGTCATACATGACATTTCTCAAATTGTCAAAGGGACAGCTCCTTTATCTCTGAGAGTCTTTCGATGTGTTTGGCAGGCGCTTGGCATAAGGCTTCACTCCGACCTGGCACTGACACACCAGAAGAGTACAGTTGTAACATCCAGATTTCTTCAGTCTCAGTGTGTTATTTGCTGGCATGTACACAGCTCGACACATATTTGGTACTCTTCTCACTCTACAACTCACAATTTAAGGAAACATATCAGTAAAAAAAAGCATAAAGCAAGGAGACAGATTGCAACCAAATCAAATGTTGGCTTCAGTGGAATAATATTTTGTCCCAGACAGGAGGTGAGTTTGTCACCTGTTTGACCCCGGTCATCTCAACATGAGTTGAATGACATTCATGACAGTTTGAAGAGTTACCCTGATATTCAGTATTCCACTTTCCAAAAGCCTGAGGACTAGGTGAAAATGGAGGCAGCATCCCTGCTTGTAGTATGTAACTGTGGAAAGGGAACAAAAGGGCATCTGGGTGATGCACTGCTCCACCTCCCAATTTCCTGTGGAGTTCCTCAAGGCTCAGTCCTTGGTCCCTAATAGTTCTTCATTTATGTTACCTCCAGCTTAAATCCACTCTTAAAACAACAAAGGTCCCTCTTTTCATGCAGATGAATAACAGTTATATTTTTCAAATATCTTCTATAAGAGACACTGCTTTAGGTTTTCAAAATTAGGGTTGCACATATCTGAAAACGTGATAAAACACTTCCTGGATAGTATATACAGAAGTCTTTTGGTAAGAACAAGTGTGTATTATTCAAAACGTTTAAAATTGGTGTTCATTTTTGACTATATCATTATTTTTTGAGTGTATACCCTGGGAAGCGCAGCTTCTGTTCACAAGACAGTGCTGTACGATATAGGAAAACTCTGGTTGTGATATATATTGCGATAAGAAAAAAGAGAGAAAACAAACCAGGTAAAACATTATTTTTTATGTACATATTAGGAAATTATACGATGTGTTCTTTATTTCGATAAGTGCTGCTGGGGATGCAGTGGTTAGTGCGTGCGCTCAATGTATGGAGGCCATAATCCTCCAAACGGGCGGCCCAGGTTCGTATCCAACCTGTGGCTCCTTTCCCGCATGTCATTCCCCACTCTCCCTCTCTCCCTGATTTCCAGCTCTATCCACGGTCCTATCTCTCCAATAAAGGCAGAAAATGCCCCCCCCCCCCCCAAAAAAAATACAAATCTTTATTTTGATAACAAAATGTGTTAAATACAAATCAAAAGGGAATATTATCAGCATGTCCCCCCTGAAGCCAAAAAAGGAAGTTTTTTTTAACCATGGGTTCATTAAGGGCCATCACCAGGTCAAATTTGCTAATTGTCTTTGTAATAATTGTGATAATTAGGATATATACTGTGCAGACTTCAAATAAGTTGAACTTTTCTGCCTATGCTTTTTGATATGATAGCACCTTCAGTATGAGCATGTTTGCATTCTGACGTTAGCATATTATTCCCCCCCCCCCCCCCCACTGGATTGTTGATGGACGGTTTGCCTTATCCCATCTCTCCCCCTATCCCTTTCCAAGCCCGGCGCAGTCTAGGCCTGTGAAGGCTGTTTCATCATGAGCCGGGGATCCAGCTGAAGATTTCTTCTTTCAATAAGTCAGTTTTTTCTTACCACTGTAACTTTTGCTGCTTTGCTAAAGTGCTCATGATGGATAGGCCGGATCTTTGTAATATAGCAATAAGTAAGGTCTTTTACCTGCTTTTTGTAACATAACAATGAGTAAGGTCTTTTACCTGCTTTTTGTAACATAGCAATAAGTAAGGTCTTTTTACCTGCTCTTTTGTAATGTTAACAGACAAAGAGTAAGGTATTTTACCTGCTTTTTGTAAAGTGTCTTGAGATAACACTTGTTATGAGTTGACGCTATACAAAAATAAATTGAATTGAATTGAATAGTTAGTGTCAGGCTCCATGAGTTTCCTACATGATGATCAATGGCATCTTCTGTTAACACGAGCTAAGTCAGAAGCCAAACCCCAGAATAGTGAATGTCTTTATGAGCATGTGTTAAAAAAATAAAATAAAAATGAAACCCCTTATTGTTCTCAGTCAGGAGTAGAAACG